CAAAACAAGGGAAAGGAGCCCACCTCGTGCTGCCCCTGGGCTGCTGGAGAAAGCAAGGTTTGGCTGCGTGCTTGTGGCTGTCCCCGGGAGTTTGGAGGGACTTCAGCTCTTTTGAGGGCACAGAATCACAGAGTGGCTCGGGTTGGAAGGGACTTCAGTGAATCATCTGGTCCCACCTCCCTGCTCCAGCAGGGTCATCCCAGAGCACATGGAACAGGATTGTGTCCAGATGGTTCTGGAATATCTTCAGACAGGGAGGCTCCACACCCTCTCTGGGCAACCTGTTCTGTTGCTCGGTCACCTGCACAGCAAAAATGTCCTTCTTGCTCCAAGTACTTTTTCTTGTGGTAAGAACAGATCAAATGCAGACCCCTGACACCTCTTACACCCCTGGCTGCAGCTGGGAAACAGGGAAAGCCAGAGTTTTCCTTTGGGTAGCTGACAAGGATTAGTTTTTCTCTCCAAGGCAGTGCTGTTCGCATTTGCTTACACTGAGGAGTAAAACATGAACACAGCTTCAAATATTTTGAATGTCTCGCAACACGAGAAGATAAATTACCAACACATCCATCACTTAGATTACTCTGACCATCTGTGCTTTCTGCACCTTCTCTTAAGGAAAAAAAATTGATTTTCAGCTACGCATAGGCTGTGTTTTTAGTTTATGTGTAATGCAAATGAGGGGAGAAGCTAGCTAGAGGCAAAATCAGAGTTTAGATTGGCTGTTCATAAGGGCAGCCTTTCCTTAAAATACCTTTTGTTTTTCACCCTGCACATCACAGAGATTTAGAGTCCTCATTGACTTCTGAAAACACAGCTCCAGGAGGACAAAGGATGATATATTCTTAACGAGTGCCTAAAGTATAGTAGTTTTTAAAGACAATAAATGCAAGGTCGCATTAGGGCAAAACAGTTAATTACCCACTTCATTATTGTCAAGGTTAATACAGCATTTGGGCACAGAAGCTGTTTCTCATCTCCTTTCGGAAACAAGGCGAGACAGCATTTCTTACAGACAGATCCATTATAGCTTATCACCGGAGGACAGACCGCTGCAGAAGCACCATGAAGGATGTCTGCTGTCACCAGGCTCCGGAGGAAACGCCAAACCTGTCCGGAGAGCGGCGGGAATGACGGGAGAGCTCCAGCTCGGGCGCACCCGGCGTTAATTCACGGAGACTGCGCCCCATTGATTTCACGTGTGACGGGAACGGGAGCAGAAAATTCACCGGTGCTCCCTCATCTCCCGGAGCATCGATCCCTCCTAAATTGCACAATGCGCTGGAAAACGTCCTTTAATAAACATGGGGTATTGACTGTCACACATCCCATCTTTACACAGTGAACCCTGTGAAAGCTGTGCCTGTGGAAGCAGGCATTTCCACGTGCTGGTTTCCATTACGTGATCCCAACAGACAGAGACAAAGGCCTCGGAAATCTTAGCCCCCTTGCAAATAATGCTTTGCTTTTCACTGCCTACTTCAGCAACTTTGAAAATTCCCCAAGTTATTTAGAAAACAGTTTAGAAAATTTAGAAAGCGTTCTATGTAAATATATGTAGAATATAGAGAGAGATAAAATTCCCTCTTTATATGGAAGCACTTTTTTTTTGCCAGTTTCTAAAGCCTTTAAAATCAGGAAAAACCAGTCTAGTTCCTGTGACACTAATTACCAGGATAACTGTGTTTTTGTCACTTTTGATGTAGCCTTTTTCTGGTATGTTTTCTCTCAAGGTTTTTGTTTTGCTTTTTAAAGTAGAGCTAGAATTTCCCATCGTTTGTGACTCCTGGCCTTGCATTTCAGTCCCAGGAGGTTTTCCCTCTGCTCTCTGGTGCAGTGCCCAGCCTGGTGATCTGGTAACCAGGACCACATCATTCCCAAATCAAGACCCCACATCAGAGAACCTGGGGACTTCTCTGAGCTCTGGCATTAACATTGCACTCTCAGCTTTGGGAATTTGGGCCATGGTTATGGCAGCTCTCAAGCTCTGGCATCATTCTGGAAATACTGAGCTGCCCAGGAAAGCTGTGGGCGCTGTCAAGCCCCCAGCATGCACTTTCTCTGTAGTAAATGACTTCAGGATAGGTTAACGTGGCACAACATACATTTTATTCTTTATATTATCTTCTTTGATTTTATTTTTTAATTCCTTTTGCTCTGCTCATCTGTACAGCACAATCCCTCTTATTACTCCTATAGACTGATACCTGCTTTGGGATGTTAATTTGGTTTTTAAGCCTTGTAAATGGTTCTGCCTGTCAGGGAGGCACCCACTGTATTTCACATTTGAGTATAATCATCTGAAGTTCTATTCAGATAGCAAAACTCTTGACTATATAGCATTGTTTCATAGGGTCTTGGTGAAACACTTCCTAAATTATCTTCTTTTGGTAGGAGTGATGCTAGATACTTCCTTGGAAAAGATAAAGTTGGGGTAGGTTGTCTGCTTTAGCCAGAGGGCATCTCACCGTGATCTATGTCCTTCCACATCAGGGAAGTGTGAAATTTATAAACAAGCCAAGGCAAATAGAAATATTGTTGTTCTTATCAGCGATAAATAATTATGATAATTGATAATAACTGTTAGTAATAGTGACAGAGCACTGACTGCTCAGTAGAAAATGTGCCTCTGGAATAGGTAAATTTGTCCTCCCTTTGAGCTGGCCGTTTTAATTTTCTCATGGAGTGGAGCCTGAATCCAACAGAAATTACAGCCATCATCCTTGCAAGTCAGTGTTTGGCAGTAGTCATCCTTAAAATGCCGGGATAAAAGAAAAGGAGTTTAGTTCTTAATCCCCTTAACTTCATCAGTCAGGATGAGACAGCACTGAGGTCCCAGAGCTATCCAAGACAGCTTCATCAGACTGGGGCTTCGGGGGTAAATGCCTTTTTTTTGGGCTTTTTTTTTTTTGAAAATCAGAATTTCCTTTAAGACCACTTTACTGTTAGTACTATTTTTAAATCCTACTAATCAAAAAGGTTGCTCCCACGCATGAACCTGTCTGCAGAAAATCCCCGAGCTGCAGGGATTTGTCAGAAATGAATTCCCTAACACATAAACACTCGGCTGCATTCTTCTAAATCTTCCTTCTGAAGGTGTCTGAAAATCCTGCTTCCAGACAGCGTCTGCTTGGAGGAGCAGAGGGAGAACTCCTCTTCCCTATAACCAAAGAGTCTGCTCTGCTCCCAGGGGTTCCCTCTGGCTCCCAGGTCCTTTTGTGCAAACCCAGCGTGGCTGCTGCAGGAAACCTCTCCTTCGTGGAGGCCAGTCCCGTGGGGAGCGTTAAATTGGCACTCTACTCCTCGGCAGGCATTGCACAGGGAAAGCGGGGTGGCAGTTGGGTATTCCAGTCTTGTTTTCAATTATAAGCATTTCATTGTCCAACGTTGCTGGTTTATTATGTGATAATTAAATGTGAATGATCCCACAGTCATCTTGCCAAAGAGTCTGGAGCCGAATGAAACCAATTCCTCTCATCCTGCTGAATGGCTTTGGAGGCGAAAGCAGTGATCTATTTGCTGTCCCTTTTTTTTGCTGTCCTATTGTTTCAGTATCACTGGCTTCAAAATGACAAACTAGGCAAGTAATTACGGACATAAATCAGAGCAGGGATCAGCGTGAGGTCAGGACTGCTTTGCTTTTAGGCTGCCTTTTCTCAGCTGCCTTTTGTGAGTAACAGAGAAGTACATTCCCGTTAATTTTGTGAAACAGTGATTTTAGTAGTGATGAAACGCTTGTTTTGACAAAGTTTGAGCCCCCTGTGTGCTTTCAGGCAGAGGCTGAGTGGCCTCTCTGTTGGTGTTGCAAACGAGTGCAGATCCAGTGTCCAGGCATCCGATATTCCATGACTGGTGTCCAGTACACCACAGTGTGCCACGTGGGCTGCAGCTCACAGAGGGACTCCTTGGGGTGACCACGGTGACTCTGTTTAAAAACTCAGTAAGTTAAATAAGATACAGCTGTAGATATTTAGCCCCAGTAAATCAGCAAAGCAAATGTGTTTTCAGTAAAGCCACGCTGATTTATGGCCCTGGCCACTAATCTGCACATCTTACTCTTGTCGGGTGTTTATAGATGTGAAGTGGTGCTCAGAGGGAGCCAACTGCTGAAAAATGGATGCAGCCACGTGTTACAGTCCTCAGGTGGTGCTAACTCAAACCAGTCAGTCCTTCCTGAAGGAGAGCTGTAACCGAGCACTGCTCACCTCCCATCCTACACAGCCACCAGTGTTTTGGACAGAAGGGAGGAGGGATGGGCAGGGGGTCTGTGGAGGGTGTTGCATCAGCGGGACACAGACAAGGCATCCGTGATGTCCCCAAGCCATGGCTGTGCACAGTGCTTTGCTGGGTGCTGTGTATTGTAAGGAGATGGAGTTAAGTATTTTTCCCCTCTTCCCCAAGTGTCTTTTATGCTAAGTTAACTAAGAGTCAGTCCCCCGTGGCAATTCTGCTACTCAGGAACATGCTGTTTCTTAAAAAAATTTAAAACCCCAAGAAAATTAAGTGCCTACTAAACTTTGTGCTACTTTCCATTCCAGCAGTTTGTTAAAATAACATGTAGAAGTGAACGCTGAATGATTTTTGTTTAGCTTATGTATGCTCTATAAATCTGATTCAGCCCACCAGTTTGGCTTGATGTACACAACTGAATAATAACAAACAGAAAATAAGTAGTGGTTTTAAATGTTTAAATGTCTCTATTGTTGCCTGCTGAACACCCACCTCTTAAATTGGGCTTTTTAAGAGTGTCTTGGGGTTGCATGCCAAATCCCAGCCTGTGATCCACCCTGGATTTAACCCCTCTTTGTTTCTTCCTTTCTGCCCTGCTGTAAGAATTTACTGAGATTTTTTTTCTAGCAGGGAGATATGTGACTGCAGAACATGACACATCACTGCATGTATTTCTGGGTGAATTGTAGACTTTGTTACTTACCGGTGGTTTTCTTGATCAGATATTAAACGAAAATCAGTATTTAATCAAAGCAATTTCTTATTCCCAGACTATTGTTCGAGGAAATAAGCCTCGAAAGGATACTTCAATCAACGGCCTGCTGGAAGAGTTTGACAATATCTCAGTGACACGGTCCAATTCCCTGCGGAAGGAAAGCCCTCCCACCCACCACCACCAAGGAAACGCAAACCATGTGCCAAGGCACCAGGAGGAAAACGGTTACATCACGTATTCCCAGTACTCCAGTGAGTCAGACACTACAGCTGAGTATGTCGTGGAAAAATATCGGGACAAGACTGTTTACGGGGAAGAGTTAGACCGGTACTACAAGGGCAGCTACGCTGCCAAGCAGAACGGGCACATGATGAAGGTGACGTCCCGGGACATCTATTACTCGGAAGTGACACCCCTGCAGTCAGACCTCTCCAGGTTCCTCCCAGATTACCACGCACACCTGGACATAAAGCCCAAACCGCTGGAGTACGGCGGCCTGAAGCTGGAGTATCAGCGGATCCCCAGCGGATCCTCCCTGGACTATCGAGATCCCTTCCCGTACACCCCGTCCCGAGCGTCGGTGCAGAGCGAGTGCCCCAAGGAGAGGCTGGAGTACGGTGACAGCGACTGGGGACACGGCCTAGGCAAGGATGACTACGACAAGAGGCCCAAGTCGTCCTACGTGGACCCAGCGAGCCCTCAGCCAACCATGAGGCAGAGGTCCAGGTCGGGCTCGGGTCTGCAGGAGCCGGCCATGCCCTACGGAGCGAGCGCCTTCAAAGCACACCAGCAAGGACATTCCTACAGCTCCTACACCTACCCCCGCTTGTCCGAAACCGCAGCAGGCATCCCCAAGGTAACCTGACGTGCCCTGCAGGGAGCAGCCTCTCCAGAAAGGGAGTGCAAAACATTAGGGATGTGCAAAACATTAGGGGTGTGCAAAAAATTAGGGGCAGAGAGCCTTTGCTTGGACACACGGTGCCAAAACGTGGCCAGTGACATCCCTGGGAGCTGCGTGGCTGCTGCTTGGTGGGTGTAGAAACACACCCTCTTTACTCAGGTCTGTGAAAATGGATGTCAGGGTTTAAGATAGGTTTAAAAGGCAGGTTTGAAATCACCAAGGATAATGATCTTATCATCTGCAGGAACCTTTTGGGTAAGGCGGCGTAGGTCGGTGTAGAATTTATCTTTCTCGACAGGGTCAGCTTGGAGGGTTCCTTGGAAAATATGTGGATAGTATTTGTGTATCTTAAAATACAATTTAATTTCCATGTAGTTTTCAAGGACCTAGCATCTTCATATGCACTCCTGTTACAATTAGCATAGTCCTCTTACCCTTTACTGAGGAACACAACTGTCTTACCCTACCTTGCAAAGAGTTTGGGAGTACCACTTTCCTCACACCTCTGGTCACGTAGCCACGACGATGACCTGCTTAAAACATCTGATATTCTGCAAGAGATGATTTTTCAGCGTGGCTTGCACTGAATGTTCCTAAGTTCCCCTGGCAATGGGCACCGAGATTATAGCTCGTTTTTCCAAGTCCTGGGTTGCTGTGACTTGCCAAATGTGCTGAGGGAGGGAGCTGTTTAGGTGCATGAAAGCACAGACCTGGGTTTTGGAGCTGGAGGTTGAATTGTGGGGGAGTAAAAAAGTTATCAGGTCTCTTTACGTGCCTTTCTGAAGCTCAGGGTGCAGTGGGAGGTGTGTGCGTGTGGTAGTAACTGAGCACCAGTGGGGCCTTCAGTGTGGATTCTGGAAGTGGTGAGGAAAATCTGGGATGGGTTAGTGGCCATTTTCTTAACTGAAACCATTGGTTTCATCAGTTTAGAAAAGACAAATCCAATAATTCAGACACCCTCCTGCATCAAAAACACTCCTTACAGCCTTGGTGTATTGAAACTTGATGATTCACTGTTCAGTGCAGCAGTTTCAATTCCCAAACCTGTACACAGCTCCTGGAAGTGAATAGCAGTTTCTTGTCCTGGGTGATTGCTGAAGAATCTTCTTTTCAAGGAGGCATTAGTCAGATAATGGTTCATCAAATGGGCTTACTAAATGAGAATCAGATCTCAAATCTGATATTTTACAAATGGGATTGGCTGTAAAGTGTAGTTAAAAGGGGGGGGAAGTCAGCAGTGAAACAGTCTGTATGGCATCAAAGCGCTTTTTACAATGATATTCATTTTGACTTGTAAATGTGAAGAGCAGACTTACTTCAGTATTATTTGCAGGTGAGAGGTGTCAGATAAATCCGTTGTCTGCCCGCTTTCATCATCAGTGGTGCAGTGACACCACGGAGGTGTAGGAAGCCAGAGGCTCAGATTTGGTTCCCTCCAATCCACCTCTCCTGTCCTGGAGATTAACTCCAGTAATACCTGCATGGGGTCCCAGGGCCTGCAGTGTTGCCCTCACTATGCAGAGTTTACATCCTGTTGTGGTCAATGGAGTCACCTCAGTATTGTCTCACGGTGTCAAACTCGTCCTGCTTATTTTTGGCCACTCTGCTCTTCGTGTTTTCTTTTTACCCTCCTCTTCATCGCAGGCAGCCCTCTTAGCTTTTGGCACTGGGCCCTATTATTTCCAGACTCCTTTCCCTGCCATTTTCCAGTTGGAGCTCTCCGTGACCCTCTCCTGTCCCTCCTCCAAGGGACCATGGTGTGTGTTCTCCCCAGGTCTCTCTCTCTAACCTGGCTGCTGCTCAGCACCACCATCATCCTGCTCTGTGTTTGCAGGCACTCGGCACCAGGAGGACATCTCCAGCCTGGCAAAGGGCCAAGCCTTTGCCAACAGAAACCTTTCCCTTTTTTCCTTCTCATTCACACGCCAGTGGCTTTGCATGAGTGCTGCCACCTCTGTGCATGGAACAGGGAGTCTTGGAGATTTCCACCAGCAAAGCACCAGAGAGTGCCCTTGTGATCTCTGTGAGATTTACAGACCATCCCTTCCACACCTTTTAGTGAAACCTCATCAATCAGAAATCCATTCTGTGTTGCTGAGAGGTGAGTCCATCTCTCCAGGGACAGGCAGGACGTGGGCTCTGGCTGCAGGGCTGTACCTGCCATCTCTGCCGCAGTCTCACTGCAGAGCGCACCGGGACAGGGACACCCGCTCGGCTGAAAGCCGAAGGTTCTCAAAGGAAGGAACCCCTTAGGAACAAGCAGGTGTTTCCTCTGTGTGCGGTGCAGAACAGGCATCACTGGCTGGGAACTGGAATGAGTTTAAACACAGCGTTTCATCCACGTTTTAGTGCCAAAAAGCCCCGACTGCCGCCGTGGCCACGTGCAGATGCGGGAGGTGCCGCGAGCTGGTGAAGTGACCCAGCCTGCAGCGGCACCGTGATGGATGTCGTGTCAGAGCCTCAGCTGCCCCTTTGACCCAATCTTGGGTGAGCACAGGGCTGGTTTCCTCTCTCCTTTGTAGTGTTTAAAGAATTTCCCTTCAGTAGGTACCTGCATTCAGCAGCAGAAACAGAATTATTAGTGGCATGAAGTGTTTTCGATTTTGCCGTGATGGCGGGCACAGCGTCAGGACGCAGCCTGGGAGGAGAGGTTCAGCTCATTTACTTGTTACAGTGCCTGTTTTTTTTGTAACATTTCTTGGGATTCAGGAAGTAATTGGGCTTACATTGTACTGCAGTGCTAACCTCAAGAAGCTTTCACAGATTTCCTAGCAAGCACACCAAACCTCTGAATTTTCATTCTAAAATTTCACTGCAGAGTATATTTTTGCCAATGTGTTAAGCCTAGGGCATACTCAGAAACAGCAGACATGGGTGAAGCCTCAAATAATTAATTAGCATGGATTTATCCAGCTTGAATTTCCAGACAAGGCTTTCCCTGTCTCCACAGTTCTAAAGAAAACGGTGTATTTACACCCAAAGCCGTAATTTATGTGTCCCTGCGTACACATATATATAGGACAGGGCTAGATTGAGTTCCCCTCCCTCCACCAAACCATCTGAGCACTTTCCTGCGTTAATTAGTTTGGCAGATGTAACGTCCTTCACGAAATTCATGGTGTCTCTGACTCTCTTCTATTTTATGGCCACCCCTGCCTGGCAGAATAAGGGAAATTATGGCTGTAATCACGTAGATTTCTGCTTAAGCAAAACCAGCATCCTGGAGGCTTTTCTCCCTGCTCCGAGGCCACTCCAGCTCCAAACTCCTCCTCTCCGTGCAGAGCCCTCAGTGATAAATTGATGCTGCGGCAGATTTTTTTTTTTAACCTTTTTTTTTTTTTCTTTTTGCAGTCTTAGCATAAAATGGTCAAATGATGTTCCACCGCAGAATTCAATTTCACAGTTCAGTTGGGTCCTTGATTACACTGCCAAATTCAGATTAATGTGCATTTAACTAACATGGATCAGGGCCTCCTGGCGGGCAGCCAGCAGTAATAGTAGCAACCGTGAGCTGTGTAGAGTTTGCTGCTCTGTCCATCCCTGTGCACTGCCACTGGAATTGATTGATTAAATGAACTCATTGCCATAATTATTTGTAATTGTGCTACATGATGAGCCTGTGTCAAACCACCCCCCTGCCCCGAGATGCTCCGCACGTCATCAGGAGTCGCATATGTTGTATTGAAAACGTGGAGATTCTCTTTTCCAGGGCAGAAAATGTAATTTTGGGGTGGTCGTTGGTTGTTTTGTTTTGCTTTCTTTTTTTTTTTGTTTGCAAATGCGAAGTATTGGTTTGCTTTCAGTGTAAGAAACTTAGAGAAGCTTGGAAAATAAAATTTAAAAAAAAAAAAAAAAAAAAGGAAGGAATCTACAAATGAACCAGGCCCCCCATCGGGATAATTTCCTTTGTGATTTTCTCTGATTTCAGGTGAAAATTAGCGGTTTCGTGACACTGCAGTTACGCAGTGTGTCACTGTGGGAAAGGATTTAAGAAATGGTGAATTGAATTAGGCTCCTTGTCATACCCATGTGTGCAGTCACTCAAACAACAGCCGGCAGCGTGGCAAGGCAGGAGAGGACAGGGATTTCGGGGTAGAGGTGGGCTCATCCCTGGATTGCTGGGAAAAAGCATAAGACTAAGAGTTGAGAATTAAAATCCAGGTACAAACAGGTCCCTGGACAGAAGAATGGACCTGAGATGCACAAAAGATCTCATGGTCTGCCCTCATGGCCTCATTTGAGTGCTGATGAGAGCACAGCAGCCCATGGGTGTAAATGTCTTTGTTCAGACACGGGCAGCAGTGTCATGTTGAGGGGAACAGGTACGGGGACACGTGGGAGCACGTTGTGCTGGCATCCACTGAGGACCTGCAGGAAACCAGTTGAGTCAGAAAGCTGTCACTGCTCTGCCTTTCGTGTTGCAGGTGGATTATGATCGAGCGCAGCTGGTCGTCAGCCCACCGCTCTCGGGGTCGGACACCTACCCCCGGGGCCCAGTGAAGCTACCTCAGAGTCAGAGCAAAGTCAGCTATTCGAGCAGCAGCTACCAGTACCCTCTGGTCTACCACAAAGCACCCCACTATCACCAGCCACCTCTCCAGCCCAGCTCTCCCTACATTTCCACCGCCTCCTACCCCAGCTCCCCAAGTATCACGTCAAGTGCTTATCCTCCACCCAGCTGGGGCTCCTCCTCGGACCAGCAGCCCTCCAGGGTGTCCCACGAACAGTTCCGAGCTGCCCTGCAGCTCGTGGTCAGTCCCGGGGACCCCCGGGAGTACTTGGACAACTTCATCAAGATCGGGGAGGGCTCCACGGGGATCGTCTGCATCGCCACCGAGAAGCACACGGGGAAGCAGGTGGCCGTGAAGAAGATGGATCTCAGGAAACAGCAGAGGAGGGAGCTGCTCTTCAATGAGGTGAGTTGTTTTGGGTGGGGTGGTGGGTTTTGCCAGCTCAAGAGGAGTCGTGGGCCAAATGGCATCTTCAAGAGCCAAATTAATATCTTTCTAAAAGAGGTGGTGAGTCCCGCAGGCATCTGTGCTGTGTTAATACTGTGTAACCAGAACAGTTTTAAATGAGCTGCATCTCCTCCTGGCTTTAAACCTGTAATGTTGTCACAGCAATTAGCTAAGAAATGTATCAGCTGGTCCGTGCAGGGTATCAGGTGCACAGACACAGCCCGGTGCCTCTTTCTGTTTCCTGACGTAGTTTATCCTTCCAAGAGGGAGGGTCCAAACTCACCACATTATTCAAGAAGCGTGTGCACTGTATTCTGGAATATACATGCTTTTTATTTCCTTCCTCCTTCCTCTCCTAACCCTTTGCATTTTGGTGGTCACTGAGCTAAGAGCTGCCAGTGCTTTTTTTATGGAACCACCTGTGTTACTTCCCACATCTCCTTTCCTGAGTGGTTGCAGCCAGTTCAAAGCCCACAGGTGCTTATGGGAGACTGTTTTCCCCATGTACATAATTTTAAATTTCAGAACACTGGTTGTCATTTGCCATTTTTTCACCCAGTTGTTTGGGACTGAGAGTACCTTGTACAACTTGAAGAGTTTTTCCATTTTTTTACTTCCTATTCCCTTAAAGAAGCTAGTGGGGTGTGTCCCCTGCTCCCTTTTCAAGATCACTTGTAAATATGCTGATTAACACCAAAACCGCTGCAGGAGCTCAGGGAAGCCTCTTGTGAGAATGAACCTTTTAATTCTATCTTTCGTTTTCTGTATTTTGACTATAAGTGGATCTTCCCTCAGCACATGACAGACTGGTTTCTTTAAAACCTCCAAAAACCTGAAATTTTTTAATTCAAAGTTAATTTTTTGCAAACTTCACCCAGTTCTTTGCACAGTGCGTGGCTGTACCGGGTACTTGGGCTTGGCTTTGCCTCTGCTGGAGGGCAGCACTGAATTGGGCTGTGTGGGAGCTCTAACTGAGCGTTTCTTGAGCAGTAACATCTTGAAGCAGGTCCTGCATGCTGTGCAGGACCAAGCTGCTTCCCCGACACGCTCCAGTCACTCGTGGCAGCAGCGCTGAAATTCCTCTGCCCGTAATGAAGCCTTCCCTGGCTGTTGTTTTGTCTCCTGGTCACTGCTCTGACAGCCCTCAGTCTCCCATGGTCACGGTCACTGCCTTGGCTGGGCTGCTCTTACCGTGGTCCCAGTTGTACAGTCCCTTGGAGATGTGGGATTTGAGTCACCCCCTGTGTTACCAGCATGCTGTGAAAATTCCATGAAAAACACCACTGGGCTCATGATGAGAACAATTTCGATTGATCAGGTTAAAAAAAAAAAAAAGAACAAATTTTTGTTGTACTGAAGACAGTTGGCAATAAAAAAACCAATTAAATAAACAGTTCTGTTCCTGCAGGCTGAAATAAAACAATTATCTACCGCTCATACTTTGGCAAGTAGAGGTTCCTTGTTCCTCCTGATGCGTTTATGATGACTGATACTTTTATGTAAATAAATTGATTTTGCTGATGTGCTGGCATAAGGATTGGGGAGGAATGTGACTCATCCCAGAACCTCTAGCGAGCACGGGGAGGACAGCACAGCGAGAAAGGTCGGGACCAGTGTCAGGCAGCGCTCGTAGCAACTGACGGGTGGCCCTTGTGTGCCCCGCAGGTGGTGATCATGAGGGATTACCATCACGAGAACGTGGTCGACATGTACAACAGTTACCTCGTGGGGGACGAGCTCTGGGTTGTGATGGAGTTCCTGGAGGGCGGCGCTTTGACAGACATCGTCACTCACACCAGGTGGGCTGGGGGACCTGCAGCCTGAACCCCAACACGTCAGGGGGATGCCGGGGCTTTCCCTCAGGGATTCCTCTGGGCCGTGCCCTCCGGAGCTCACCTGCTGCTGGGGGCAGCTGGGCACCTCTGGGCTATAGACATGTATTTTTATTTTTAGTCTTTTTTTATTCTTTTTAAATTTTTATTCTTATTTTATTCTAATTCTTGTTTTATTTTTCTTTTATTTTTATTCAGGTATATATAAAATACGTGTGTATACTGTGTTTATTTTTATATATTTAAATACAACATTTTTTAATATTGCTTTTTATAAGTACATACAAAATACATATATAAAAGCATAAAAATACATGCCATATGTATCCATGGAAAACATATATATACATAAATATATACATAAAACACATATATAAAAAATATGTATAAAACATGTATACATAAATATATATATGCATATGTGCATATGCATGTGCATATACAAGCTATGCATGTATATATATACATAGATAGCTATATATATACACAATATTTATAATTCTATATCTATGTGTATAAAAATATATATTTATATCTATCTAGATAGATAAATTATATCTATATATATCTGTATCTATATATATAGATAGATATAGATATATCTATATATATGTATATATAGAGATATATATATATCGATATATAGATAGATATAGATGTATAGATAGATATATCTGGATAAATTATATATAAATCTATATATTGATATATCTAGATATATAAATTATATCTATCTAGATAGTCAGGTATAAATATATATTTTATACACATATATAGATATATCTAGACATATAAATATATTATGTATATATAATGATAATAGTATTAATCAATATTAATATTAATTGTATTAATATTAATTGTATTAATATTAATTAATATTAATTAATATTAATGTTATTATTAAAATACCTATATATGTAGGTATATATAGATATAGATATATAGATATCTATCTATATATCTATATCTAGATATATCTAGATATATATAGATAGATATACTTTTACCCACAGATAGATACATATATAGAGATATATATACTTATACCCATACACAGCATGCTTGCTTTACCAGCATAAATAAGCAACTGCAGAGGAATTCCTGTCAGTACCAGCATTTTTTAAGTCAAAGGGCAATAAATACTTGAGAGGGCTTGCTGGTAGATGGGGATTTGCTGCACTCTGGTTGGTAGTTCATCAGCAACACAGCTTTTATCCATTACTTCCTAAAAACCGCCCCAAAAAAATGTTCTTTTCCCTGTTTGATGATCTGCATTGTTGGTCTTGCTGTCATAACCACGTCAGTTCTAAGGGTGGTTTCTCTCCACACACAGCCCGTGTAACCAGGCTGTCAGAAAGGCTGTCTGCAAACCAAGCCTAAAATGTACAGGCAAAAGTATTTTCATATCAGAATATTTATGCCTGTGGGAGAGCACGTTCCTGTATTCCAGGCAGTGTCCCACCTTTAAAGCAGGTAATGCCCCAGCACAGGAGCTGCAGTGTTTGGAGCTGCTCTGGCTCTTCTGAGGGGAGACATCAGATTTTACAGCCCTCTTTTCTTCTGCTCTTTGCTCATCTGCTCCTGATAATGAGATAGGGAAGAGGGATTCTTTATTTAATTTCTTCCTCTTGAATAAAAAAAAAATTAAAATTTCCACACCAAATCAGTGGGAGAGTATTTAGGGGAGCAAGAGGAAAAGTGAGGAATAATAAATTAAAAAATTTGTCTTCTCTCAGAGTTTAATAGACCCTACCAAGAGCAGAGCTGTAACACAGTTATTTTATTTTTTATTGCTACCTTAGCCTGTGTGCTGAAATAAATCACAATATTGCAAGTCATTTGCTAACTACTGCAACCCAAAACATTAAAAGCTCTATCTTAGATATTTCTGACAGGAGTTTAACAGCAAACAGATGTTCCCAGGACACCACTTCTTAAGAGCTGTCATCTATTTTTTAACTCAAAACAGTCTTTTCTTAATCTTCTGGACTTTTTTTTTTACATTGCATGACCTTCCCTCAAAGATTTTGCTAAAACACTGCAAATGGCACACAAAGTTAGAGCAGAAATGTCCACGGGTGTTCTTCTGCTCATAAAAGAGAGATGAGGGGGTTTCAACCTTGCATAGAAATGTGGCCTCTTGTTTATTTTTCTGCTGAAATACCCACAATATTTTTAGGGAAGTCATAAAAATGCTCCCCAAGAGCTACACCCAGGGCTTGATGTTTTGTCTGCACAATTAAGAGGGTTGGGTTTTTTTCCTCATATTCATTCCACGCCTGTTTCCATCCCAGTGGTGTTTTACCCTCCCTGGCAAGCACTGAGCTTGCTGTAAATAAGGCATTCCCGTTATTTCCCAGAGGGAAACAGGCTCACTGGCACAGCTGCATCACACTGAGCTTTTTTTAGTGCTGCAGGGAGAGTTGTCCAGACCTCGTTGCAGAGCTGATCCTCACCCCCCATCCCGTGTTTTTGGTCAGAAATAGCCCCAGAGATTCACCCCACAGAGCCACTGCCTAAAAGATCTGTACCCTGGCCTGAAGGGGAACTCGTGACTCTTTGTTCCAGCTCCCCTTTCCCACTGTCTTCCTTAACACTCGGGTTCTCCCACGTTGCTGTTTCAGGATGAACGAGGAGCAGATCGCGACTGTCTGTCTGTCCGTGCTGAGAGCCCTGTCCTACCTGCACAACCAGGGCGTCATCCACCGCGACATCAAGAGCGACTCCATCCTCCTCACCAGCGACGGCAGGGTGAGCACTCAGCCCTTCCCCACCCCTTCCTCAGCTCCTGGGGCTGCCCTGAAAGCAGCTGTGCCCCTTCAGGGTGACACTGCCTGGAAAAAAATGAGCCAGGCCTGTGGAACTGCAGGATGTGACCCGTGAGTGACCGGTTAGAGCAACAGTGCCTTGGGGAGGGATTGCAGGCAGTGGCAGGAGGAACTACACAATGTGGGTGATGGCTCGGTGGCAGAAGGTGATGAGAGATCATTTTTAGGCTGAACCCACCCCTATTGTGATGCCTCTCAAAAATGCTCCCTTTTTACTACACTTAGTTATCCTTTAGTTAGCAGGCTCTGTGTGTGTGCTCTGTTAGCAGCTGCTGTACCCTGTGCTCCGTTTCTCCAGGCCAGTGGGAAGGCTAACATCTTTCTGTGCTAAAATAATAATCTACATTACTGCTGAAAACCTCCCCTGATGGTCAGAGTAGCTTTTACATTTACAAGATGCTTAATAGTGCCAGTTCCACACTTCCATGTACTTGGATGGGATGCTGCTGCCAGTTAATTGATCTTTGTGCTGTTAATGAGCAGGGAGGGAGGGGGACAAAATGCTGCACACGACTTGCTCAATAAGCAAAATGAAGTTTGCAGACAATGAAAATGACAGGTTGTTACACACCTGTCTAAAGCAAGACTCAGCGGGTTGGGCTGAGCTTGTTGGTCTGGAATCAAATCTAGACCTTTCCTTTCAGAAGGTGAAGCTCTTGGCTTCCCAGGCCTGGTCTGACTCCTTAGCCAAAGGCTCCCCTGTTTAATTTGACACCCACTTCACCAAGGAAGGGGGGGTTTTCTTCCTGCAGCAGTCACAGGCTGCTCTGGTAATCCTGTCAAGGAAAGAAAATCCCATGTGTGTAGGAGTTCTTCAGCTGGGATTTCAATCCATGTTGCTGAAATAACATCTGATCTGTGCTGGGATCTGCATACAGTGCCTCATTATACTCATTACTCCAGTACTTATTATCTGCATTGCAGATTTCTTCATGGCTGTGTTGTGCAATTACCTTTTTTTAGAAAATCGTTGTCTTTTATGTACTCGAATGAGCAATAGATATGCAAAACCTCTCGTGCTCCTACAAAAGAAGATTGGGCTCTGCTTCCAAAATACGCATTATTTCTTCCTGTAAACTGAAAAATACATTTAGCATGGAGAACTTGGCTATTACTGCTTTAGAAACACCAACAGTCATTTCATAATTCTCTTTAAAATAATACCCGCAGCTTTTAAAAAAAAGTGGTGTCTGCACCGAGTCCAAAAGAAAACAAATCAGTGCTGACAATAATTCTACACAATGCAGGCATTTATGCAACTTCCCACCCCAGTTGTCCAGGGGCTGTTTGGGTTCATTTTGTATCCCCAGGCGCTGAGTACATGATGGGATACACGGCCTGTGGACCTTGGGTCACCGTGGCACTGTGCAGGGTATAACTGGGAGTGCTGGGAGTTAGTTAGGATAATGCCCAGGAAAACCCCTGTGATAGCTTTGAGGCCTCCAAATAACTCCTTGGGGGAAAAAAAAAAAAAAAAAAAAAGACTTCAGCCTTAAGGAACAAGCTGTTTCTGGAAGGGGGTGATGCCACTGACACTCAGACCAGCTTGTTTAGGTTGGGGTTTGGAGGAGTTTTCACCTTGGCATTGTACAGCGACACGGAGGGGGAGGTGATAATTTTCCATAATTTCTGTTGTTAAAAAAAAACTGGCATAAAAGTATGAGTAGGCACATGATGCAGCAAGAGCTGCTCTCCGGAGTGCTTGTGTATCCCATTATTTCTATTTCAGGTCACTGCCACAGCTACTCAAGGACAGTACTAATTCCCGAGTTCCCAAGCAAAGGGAGCAGGTCCCTTTAACTCTTTTTTGCAAGAGTCTTGTACCCTTCCCAGTCTTTCCTAAATCAGCTCTGTTACTACATAAAGATGACATTTTCTTTACTGACAGCCCATGGTGTGAAGGCTTTCAAACACCACTGGCAGGGGTTTTGCTTTCTGTGGTGTGGGGTCATGCTCTGGGTGGTAAAAGGGAATAATGGGGTGAATGCCACTTGTTTCACCCCTTTCCTGGCAAACTCACGGGTCATGTTCCTGGGTACACATCCAGGAGGGGAGTGTATCACTTGAACTGTGTTCATTACTGAGTATCAGCATGCATACCTAACTACAGACATGGGGGGTGTAGATATGCAATAATAGATTCATGGCAAGACTGTTACTTCAGAATTTTTTGCTTTCCTTCTATTTTTAGCCATTATAAGCCATTTATCACCTCTGCATCTTTTGCGGGTGGAGAGGCAATGAGGTGTGTCAGATGATGTTAGTAATGAGCACCACTGCCACTCTCCTACGTCTTTCCCTTGCCTTTATTTTAATGAATTTCAAGTTCCCCAGGCTGTGTTCCTGTCTCCAGACACACTTCCAAAACTGTGCTGCTGTCCTGTCCCAGACAAAGGCTGCAGCTCCATCCCTGTCCCTCCAGCTGTAGCCAGAGGTGTGTGTTTCAGAGGCACGTGTGTCTCACAGGAATTCACCTTGTTACTCAAGAGGGGCTTTTTCTTTTTTCTTTTCAGATAAAATTGTCCGACTTTGGGTTCTGTGCCCAAGTGTCCAAGGAGGTTCCCAGGAGGAAGTCGCTAGTTGGGACACCGTATTGGATGGCTCCGGAGGTGATATCCCGCCTGCCCTACGGCACCGAGGTGAGTGCAGGGGGCACAGCAGGGACCCAGAGCTGCTGTTTGCCCTCTGTGGGGGGGCCTTGGTCGACCCCACAGAGCTCAGGGAGCACCGTGCAGTTCAGAGGCATTTCCACAGATATGCTAAATAGCAGCAATTACGTTTGCCCCAGAGTGCTGCTTCGTGCCTGCTTTTAAAGTGTTTCTCCCAGATGAAGTCGTTAAATAACAACTCCATTTAGCACACTTATTATAATGCCTTTACGTGGCTTAGGGTGCTGCAGGAAAGGAAACTGGCCTCATTTTCACATCGGGAAAGACCCTTTGATGCTCTTTAATAGATAAAGCCTGGAGCTGCGGTCACAGGTGTCCACACCTGCATGTGCCAAACCCGCAGCCAGGTCAGGTGCCTGTGCTGCACAGCCCGGTCACATCCAGATTTGCACTCTGCTTTCATCCAGCTGAAGCCTGAGATTCCCTTGCTCTGGAGGAGTGCCAGCAGAGGCACAGGTCCCACAGGGTCCCAATCACAGGAGCCAGCTGGGGGGGTTGGATTGTCACCTCCATCGGCTCGTTCCTTGCAGTCACTGCTCTCATTAGTTGAGAGACAGGGGTAGAGAAAGCGCGTCTGTGGGAGCTATTTTAAGCCCTGCCAAATGGTTCTGAAAAAGACAATCCACACATTTTTATTAGAACCCTTCAGAGGAGACCAGCAAGGTCTGCAGTGCCGTACCCCATCCATTAGGAAGCTGTGAGTCACAGCACTCCTGCACTGCCAGCCTGGGAAGAGCAATCCCCTCTCCTGCGCTCAGCCGTGACAGTGACTCACGGCTCCCCAGCAGGAGGCACGGCTGCCTTTGCTCCTCTGCGTGGGGAGAGGAACTTCTGCTTGATAGCACTGATAGTAACAGCTGCAGAGAGCAACGCTGCAAGGCACACAGAGCCAAAAATACAGATGCAGTCACACAAATACACACATATTTTATATATATATATATATATATATACACAGACATAAATATATATATATATATATACATAAATGTACAGAGACACAGAAATACACATGCACAGAGAAGGGGAAATGAGCTGAGACAGGAGATGCTGCAGGAACTGTTTTGGCACAGCACAGAGAGCGCCCGCCCCAGGGTGAGAGCACTGACGTGCTCCCAGGACAGGTGCCGTTGTGGAAGACATTCCAGGGGTAATAACATCAGCTATTATTAGCCCATTAATAGCACTGGAGGGATTATAAAGTGGTTGAACTTATGGCTACATTACGTTTCCCTGCCAGAAGGGAAAAAAAAAAAAAAAAGGATTTGAGCTAAAGGATAGAGTTGGGAAAAGAGAAAAGCAGTATGAACTAGTCCAGGCTGTATTTGCGCTGGCAAATGACAGGAATTGCAGTCATTAAAGAAATAAAATTCTGGAACAGACCTGCAGCAGGCCAGGACCAAAATAAAAAAAAAAATAAGGTTAGGGAGTTTTGATTTGTTTTTTTTTTTTTTTTTTTATCTGGAGCTGAATCATTTTCCAGAGGGATTACACAAGATGTTACCTGTGCTGGCTGGAAATAGCCCTGGGTGTAGTAAGTGCTTGTGTTTGCCTTGGGGTCTCGAATGGAGTTCCTGTCATTTTTGAGCTTCAGGGGACACAGAGTAACTGATTTCACAGCAGCTGAGTCCTGCTCTGCTCTCCCAGTGGCTGCAGCGCTGCAGAGCCAGCCTGGGGTGGGTAGTCAGTGGCTGCCATCAGTGCAGCTGGAATGCAGGACAGGAGGGTGCAGCCTCTCCAAGCCACAGGGCTTCCAGTGGACAGCACCTAAACCAGCTGCAGACCCGGGTTTGTCCATCACTGCTAATCCATTTCATCCATCAGTTTATTCATCAGAAGACAAAAGCACTGTCAGCTGGTTAAAGATGGAGTATTTATGGTGATGGTTCACCAGACTATTGGCTTCTTACACTGGCCACAGACAGCACCATGACCCAGCTCCCAGGTTTGCGTGAGCCTGTTGCTCCCCCTGCACTAGCAGCAGTGCTCACAACCAGCCTGTGTGTTCCAGGTGGATATCTGGTCCCTGGGCATCATGGTGATAGAGATGATCGACGGTGAACCTCCCTACTTCAACGAGCCGCCGCTGCAGGCCATGCGCCGCATCCGGGATAACCTCCCGCCCCGCGTGAAGGACGTGCACAAGGTCAGACTCCCCGTTACGGGGTGAGGGTCTCGAACAGTGACACGTTCAGTGACACTGTAGGCACGCACTTGAGTGCCCATCTGATAACTTCTGAGATCCCACCTGGAGCAGCGGGTCCTGCTCAGGACTTGTGTGGGGAGGATGCGAGGCCGAAGCCATCAGCCATAGCCCTGTTTGTGCCCAGCCCTGGCTCAGCTTTTGCAGCAGTGATGGCACAGGGAGCTGGGCAGAGCCTTCTGCTCCCTGTGCTTCCCAACCTGCCCCAGGACCAGAGCAAGCCCGCACATCAGCCCTGCTGTGGGTGGGTTGGTACATCCACGCCCACTGCCGAAGCCTGTGTGCACCTCCCGTTTTGGGTGTGCTTCTGGACATCAGGCCTGAGCCCTCAGCCCACGTTAATGCTTTTCTCACCCCCCACATGCAGAGCTGTGCAGGGGGTGCAGATCTGCACCCACTGATACCCAAATACTTTCAGAATCAGTGGCACACAGACACACAGCCCCTCAGCTCACTAGAGCTGTTACCGTAGGCAGAATCACTGTGTCCCTCGTCTTCCCAAGAAAAGCAGCGTGCACAGAGCCAGAAATGGATGTCTTTGTCCACCTCTAACACCAGGACTCCTGTTGCAGGTCTCCTCAGTGCTCCGGGGCTTCTTGGACTCGATGCTGGTGCGGGAGCCCTCGCAGAGAGCCACAGCACAGGAACTGCTGAGACACCCCTTCCTCAAACTGGCTGGGCCCCCTTCTTGCATTGTGCCCCTCATGAGGCAACACAGGCATCGCTGAAGCCGGCAGCTCTTTGGGAAGAGGTCAGTGCAGAGTCTGGATTAACAGCTGTGTGGGAATGCCAGCAGTTGTGTGGGAACTGCAGGCAGGGAGGAGTAAAACCTTGTGAAGGAACTCCAGCCCTGCCGAAATAACGCGGTGTATAAAAAATCCAAGGCAGTGCTCTCTGTGCTCCCTGTGTGTGAGGGGCAGGGCAGTGACCCTGGTCCCGGCTGGGAGGCCACGCTCCACCACGGACCATCGCTCCCCAGCGCTGTTGTGTTCCCAGCCACGCAGGGAGAAGGCACCAAATGCACAGGTTGGAAAAAGGTAACGAGCAGGGCACAGCCAGAGCAAAACACCGGAATTTCACTGCAGGCTACGGCACTTCTGTTTCAGAAGAACACTTTTCTGACAAAACAAAGCACTTTTTATCTCGGTCAGAGCAGCGCAATGTATTTTGCAACGAGTTTGTAATTTTCTGTACAGTCCGTTTTGATAATTTGCAGTACTTTGTCATGTACCTGTTGTGTTAGTTGAAGTAATAAGTGTTACCTTAGCCAGAATTTGAGAAGATAAAGTTTCCTACTTTTTTAACCCTTTTGAAAACAGGAAAAAGGAAAAAAAAAAAAAAAAAAGGAAAAAAAAAACAAACCCACAACCACCTTTCGGAAGTTGTAAGGTTTTGCAGATTACCCATGGGGTGAGGAGAGCCCTCATCTTCCCCCTCTTGGCAGCCCGAAGAGCCAAGGGTGAGTGATGCTGGTGGGAGCTCTGACAGCCTGGCAGCCCCCCGTGACAGTGGCAGAGCTGCTGCTGAATGTGAGTGGTCACCTGGGTCTCCCTCCCCTGTTCCCAGGGTGGGAGCCAACGCCTGGGCCCTGCCTTTGCTCCAGGGTCAGCCCAGGCCACGGCCAGCCCTGATTTTTACGCCACCGCCGGGCCAGTTTTGCCACCACAAAAGCCTCTGTTGTTTCTGTCGAGCTCTGGCAGCGGGAAGGGATCACCCAGCGGGATCCCTGGAGCTCCAGACCTGTGGGATGTGCTGCCAGATGTTTGCCAGAGAGGAGGAGTCGTGCTGCTGTCCAGACCTTTCTGAATGTTGATGCAACAGTTGACTACTACGGTACAATTTTGTGTTATTTGTTGGATGACTTTGCATGTTAACTGTAGGCCTAAATAGATTTGCCTTTAAACTTTTTAGAAGTGCTTCATAATTCTTTCAATGATAAATGATTTTTATTTATTAATGATTAGTTCTTTTTAATTATGTATGATACAAAAGCCATGTTTTTCAAGTTTGATTTTTTTTTTCTTACTGACCTCATTTTTCGGTATCTTTAAGGAACCACAAAGCCAACTTTGTGAAAATGCGGTTTCTTTCTTATGATGGAATTTCCTAGTTGATAAATTAATTGTTATTTATTGTAGTAAATTATAACCAAACCTGGCAGGAGCTGTCGCTTAAAGATCTTCCTCTGGAAGAAAAAGAGTTGCCAATAATAAAGAAGCTCCTTTAGTTTCTGCCCTTAAAAACTTAAAGAATATTTAAAGGGAGAGAAGCAATTTAAAAAAATTTAAAAAAAAAAAAAAAAAAGGGAGATAAATATGAACTGGAACACTGAATAGATGTGTCTTACTCCCCCCCCCCCTCTGCTTTCTCTTCTCAACCCTGTTTGCACATTTGAAGGACACTGTAGAAAATGTGTTCGGCTCCCGGTGCCCACCCGGCCGAGAGCAGCACCCACAGCCTTCCAGGGGCTCTGTTTTGTAGTCTTGACAACTCAGGAAAACCGGCTGCACCGGTCCAGGCAATGGCAGACAGGCACAACTGTAGTACTAGCCACAAAAGTTAACTTTTTTAACCATCTTTGAATAAAAATTTAAAAAAAAAAAAAGGGGAGTCGGTGGGGGGGTTTTTTTCTTCAATATTCAGCACATTTTAGGCTGTGCGAGTGAAGAATTTTCTGCAACTTTCTTATCATTAGATACTTTAAACAGTGTTCATCAAGTTTACTGAAAGTTTTGTCGATTTCAAAGGTTTTTTTTGTGAACACCAGCTACTGGTGAGACAAATGCACATGCAAGTTAAATAAATTAATTAATAAACACCTGAAGTTTCAGTGTGGTTTTTTTTTTCCCCCTGTGCCTTTTTGCTGTTTCATAAATCTGACTCAGTGCCACAATACTGGACCAAGCAAATAAGAAAAATGAGTTTTCCTTCACCCAAAATTAAGGAGAAAAAAAAAACACCAAAAAACCAACTTACCCACACACGTTAGGCTTAACTTTAGTGGAATACTAGAGAAATAGGCATTTCAAACCAAGATACTGTGATTTAACCATTTTGAGAGGTCCCCCCACAAACACACCCATGTACACACACACACTTATGTTAGAAAAATAAACAATTCTCCTCTAAACATAGAAAAAAACCCCACACTCATGTTTCAGCACGAGCTAGCAATGCCAGCACCTGAATAAAATACCCAGCCTGTGGTCACTGAGACAGTACAGAGCATTTTGAGACGTGATGAGCACACCCACACACCTCTGCAAGATGGAGTTCTCCAGAAGGACTTGTCCCTGTTGGAACGTTTCCACCTTGCTTTCCCTGCCTCTTAAATAATCCCTTTTTTTTTTTTTTTTTTTTTCCCTGCCTTACACATCCTTAATTTTTGGCTTACAACCATTCAGCTCTCACACCTACTGACACCATTCCTCCCAGTTTCCCCAGCAGCACCAGTCAGCTGATGAATCTCCAGTGTTATTTGTTACCTCCAGGTCTTATAAACCTTCAGCACTTCAAATAAAGCCAGAGCTGGGCAAAAAGCAGGGACTAACCAGGTGTGTTACCTTGGGCTGCACAGTTCACTGAGGCTGATGCCGAGCTCCACGTATGTCCAGATGCTCCAGTGTGTTTATTCCCACCTGTCACTAAGGAGTGATGGCTTTTTCTGAGGTCACAGTTCTAAAAGCGTCCACAAATACCCATAATTTCAGTAGCAGAGGCTGGGACATTTACTGGCTGTGTAAGAAGTCCCCTCCTCAGCAATACATCAATAATTTATAATTAAAGTTCTAATCATAAGTACTTGGTAAGTCATTAGCAGCTGCTTTAGTAAGTGCCTAATTATTACAGGTCCTTAAAGAGCTCAGGAGGGTGATAAGTTTCTCATATTTATCCAACTGGTGTGTTCATAAACATCTACAGAAAGCAAAGCATTCAATTTGCAGCTAGCCCATAATAAGGCATCAATGAGTGAAAGATAAATATAAAATTAAATCACAATAAAGTGCTGCCATCCTCAAGATGCTGCTGGAGCTTGAATGGGCAGCAGGAAAGCTGGACAGCTTTTTTAACCTCATGAATAATTTTTCATAAATAGGTTTGAAAAGCAATGGAAAATTCAGATTGAATTCAGTCAATATTAACATAAGGATGGAAAGAATTAAAATACTCAAAGGGTTTTCACCCAACATCCTAAATAACTTTCTTTACACAACATACATCAGTCTGGGGCGCAAACTGTCAGTGAGCTGAAATTGTTGTTTCTATTTCCCTTCTTCCCCATTTCAGTCCAACAAAAAAATTATTTTCTATCAATTCAGAAAACACCAAAAAAAAATTACTGAATTCATGCAACTAATAGCTTACAGACACACTCCACCTGAGTGTGATGCCAAGTGCTTCCTGAGGGGAAACCTCCATCATCTGACATGAAAAGCAGTGCAAGTTCTTCAGGGTGTGTGGGCACAGGAGCTGCATCAGCTTTGTGGGGGCTCTGCCACCACTTCAGTGCACTGGCCAGGGCTGGGGCAGTGGGATCAGGCAAGGACAGCTCCCTATGACCACCCTGACAGGGTCACTGCAGGGTGAATTCAAATCAGTTTGCAGAGCCGACCATAAATTAGCATTTTCTCCATCTTAAACACCCGCAGATGTTTGAGAGCGTCTCTCACTGACACCAGGCGGGTCTGGCGCGCTTCCTGCGGGGGGAGAAGCATCGAGGTGACGCACGAGGGTTCAAGGCTAAAACCCACCAGCAGCTTTGGCTGAGCAGGGCACAAACTCCCAGACCAGCGTGGGGATGATGCCCAGCCAGCAGCTCCACCCCCAGCCACTACAGTGGCACCTGGCAGCTCAGCCAAGCTGAGGCTTCTCTGCCTTCAAATGTGGGGCCATCCCCGTATCCCGTTCCTGCAGCCACCCGGCCAGGATGTGCTGTTCGGGAGACAAACAACCATGGAGGAGCTCCTCCGGAATCTGCACTTCAGCTGTTTGCTTCCTTTTTTTTATCCCATTGTTCTTTGGGATGTCAAACACAGGAGCAGATGTGCCAGGCTGATGGGAGCTGGCTGGGAGAGCCTTTCTGGCTGGAGGGCAGGCAAGGGTGAGGCAGGACAAAGCTGGTGACTGTGGCTCCTCTCTATTAAGGATGAACCTTTAATCCTTTTATTCGCCCTCCTGCTACCTCTGCCTTTTTCTAACTGCCTCTAAAACAACCTTTTTTTAATAATCAGCTCATTGTAGGCAATGGCACTTGGTCAGCCCGAAGCCTGCCCAGAACACTTTCACTGGAGCGTTGAAAGAAAAGGGCAAAGCCACAAGCACCAACAGTGCAATGATTTTGCTTCTTACATCCAAATGAGAAAACAAAAAGCTGAGAATAATGTAGAAATGAGGCCAGGAGTAAGACCAGACTAAAGGAAGGCTCGTGCTGCATCCACCTTCAACAAAAAGCCCTGTAAATTTTGGAGGAGGCTACAGCACTAAAAGCCAGTGAAGCTTCTCCTCTTACGTTTCACGACGCTGAAATTACTATTTTTCTTTGATTATTATTCGGGCTTAAGCTGAAAGAGAACAGTCTGTTTGAGTCACTGCTTGGATCAAACCATCTCAGGAACAAGAAAGTATTTTGCATACCCTAATTTAACTCAAGGCCTGGCCTAACCCCTTCTGAGGTAACACCAGAGCCAAGCGAAGTCAAAGGTTTCAGTGAAAACTGGTTGGTACCGGAGTGAAAAACAACACTGCCCACAAAACAGGTAAGAAAAACAACCAAGAGATACAAATAATATTAAAAATAACCAACAAATCACAGAATACTGAACTACCACCGTGTCTTCACCAAACCATCTGCTAGGATAAATCCTACCTTTAACATGCACTCAGCGAGATGTATTTTTGCACCGATTCCATGTATCATGGAGTTAGGACATTCCAGGTATCATGGAGTTAGGACAAAGCATCACATAATTTCAAAAGAAGAAGGCAAATCAAGTTATTATATATGTACATGTTTTAATTAATTTTAAAAATCGTCTACATTTAAGGATAGATCTCAAGGATTCCCTTATATATTTTTCTGTTACATTAGATTATACCTGAATAATCTGCATAGTAACTTGAACATTACTGTTTTCTTCCTTTTTTTTTTTGTTTGTTTTGTTGTGAAAATACCAGTTGCAGGTAGCAATGTAACATCTCAACAACAATCACAATACGTGCAGGATGTCCAGCCAGAAGCATTTCTCAGTTGACTTGCAGTAGCACGGCACTTTATAATTTGAGTATCAATATTTTTTTTTTAATTTTTTTTTTTTTAAGTTGAGTTCAGATGTGGCTCAAGAAGCAAAAACAAACTTTCTTCACTCTATATCAGGTGTGGGCTCAGCTCCAGAGCTGACTGTGATCTGATCCACTGGAGTTCCTCCAGTTAATACCAGCTCCAGGTTGTGACTTTTTTTTTTTTTTTTTTTTTTTCCCCCAAAACACACCTGTATTTGCCTCCATGCTTTCCTTAACATGGGTGCAAACTTAGGAATGTGGTTTGAGCCCCTCCATTAAAAGACCTGAATGCAGGGACTGTCCCCCAGCCCTGCTCCCTGCACCCACAGGAGCAGAGAGGGCTCAGCTCTTCCAAGAGCAGGGGGCAGGTAAAGAGTCTCTTGAGAAGGGAAAAAGCAACAAACAAAACAAAACAAAAAAAGAACAAAAAAGCTAATTTTGCTCCCAGTGTTAAACTTTGACATGTGAAGCATTTCTGTTTCCAGATGATCAGCCCAGCTGCTTAAGAAGGTATTCAAACCACCTACTGCCACAGACACCCCACATCAGACACCGAGTCCTCTCCCAGACTCTGCCCTGACTGAGGGAAAGCCCAGCCTTGCCCTGCGTGTCCCCGTGAAGTGCTCACGACGAGGTGCTGTGAATACCATCTCTTGCCCCCCCATAACCTTCTCCTCACCCACGGAAAAAAAGTGCTTTTGCTTTTTTCTACCTGATGAATGCTGGGGTTGCTCGCTCCTGCTCCCTATCCCATGTGCTTGTACTGAGATCTGTCCCGAGGGATCTGCACTTGGCTGGCCGTCAGCTTGAGGTGGACATGGTAAATGCCGAGGGTGATCACGATCACCAGGCCCAGGATCAGGCCCAGGATCAGAGGCAGGGTTTCTTCCAGCTGCTCCCGCTGGTCCACCGGGCACTTGTGTTCTGTGGGGAGAGGGAAAAGGGGAAAAGAGAGCCATGAGTGGGACCCTGCAAATCTGAACTGCTGCAGTGGCCAACTGATGTCCTCAGAGTCACAGCTCCACGAGAGAGTCCCTCATGGGGGACACAGCACAACCAGCTGTAGCAGCAAGGACAGGCGGTCACACAACCATCACCGGAGCCCCAGGGAGAAGAGCAATTGCTTTGGAGGAGAGTGAAATGCCAGTCAACACAGGGAGGGAGGCAGAGGTAACATCTATCAAACTAGCCACTTTCATCCCCATAAGCTCCTGTTCAGGCCCCTCTGCCACACAACAATGGCCTTGCTGGGAATGGGACAGCAAGAGTGCATGTTTCCTGACTGTGGCTGAAGATCTGCTTTGTTTATTTAATTTTAGAGTCTATAAATATGGTATCATGAGGCCTCAACATCACTCAGTTTTTAATCTGGCATCAGACTTGCCCTGCACATCATTCAGAGATTTCCCCCCTCTGTCCTCAAGCTGGCAGAGGTTTAAGAGAGTCACTCTCCCCTTTCCATGTGCTCTCCACAGGGAGTTCACCAGCCTGGCAGAGCAACACGTGTGTCTGTGGTCAAACAGCACCCTGGCACCCCATGTTGTTCATCAAATTTGGTAAAGGACAGAAAATTTGGCAAAGCAGAAACAACACCAGCCCCCCAGTGTTCTTCTCCTTGGCTGATGAGTCTCTGTCATGGTCTGATAAACCTCTAGAAAATATTAATCACCACAGCTACAAGGGGGAAAACACTTTTCTGTTGCGCTGGTAAAGGCCACCAAGGTCAGGAAACACATTACACTGGCAATCCCAGTTCAGTTCCCTTACACTTCCAGAGTCTGCTGCAGGCCTGCCTGACAGGAGCACGGTGTACTTTTTTCCCCACAGAATTGCTGCTTCTCCATGCTGAGGGACAGGCAGAGCCCACACTGCTGAGATGGGGCTGCCAGGACAGAAAGAAGAAAAATTCTGACTCTTGAGGGAGAAAAAAAAGGTTATATAGTACAGGAGGGCCAGTTGTCTGGCCCCTGGATCATCTTCTTCACGGCATAGAAATGTGCTGAAAATAATGAAAACTTTAAGGAAAAAAAAAAAAAAAGAAAAATAGAAAGGCTGAGTGTTAGATGGGCGAATACAAAGGGCACCACCAATTCCTGCCCTCACTAAAGACTGTCCAGATGGGTTCCCCAGGCACGGAGATCTGCAATAACCATGAAGAGCAAACGCTCCACAAATATAATGGCACGTGTTAAAGAGCAGGAAAAACCCAGAGAACCTCCAGGCCCAGGCAGGAGGTGACAGCAGGGACCTGTCTCCAGCGGCGCCAGCACCTCCAGGAGCTCCTGGAGTGGAGCCTCCTCCCAGCACCAGGCTCACAGCGGTGCCATCAGGAAACGTTTCAAGCTGTAAATGAAGCGAAACAAAAAAAGCAAAAGTGAAATGGAGTCCAACCACAACAAAAAAAATGTCCTTTTTGGTTCCAGTTGCTCACAGTTTCACCAGAGGAGTGATTAATCACCGGGACTGTGGTACAGGCGATTCAGCAATTGCTGCAATGCAGGGGTTTTGTTTGTTTGTAGTAAAGAGAATGGGGGGGAAAAAAATTCCTGATTATTATCATTTAGCTCCCAAAACTGGTTTTCTAGAGCTCTGTGAAATTCTTCCCGGTTTAGGATGGGAAGGCCTGGCCAAACTCACGGAGACACACCAGCAGGCTGAGCTGACTGCAGGAAAAGCCACACACAGGGCAGAGCTGTGGGCCCGGGGGTGCTCCAACCCCACAGCCCCTCTGCCCACGTGTGGACACAAAGCAACACCTCTCCCACGGGAGGGATCCGTGCTAGGGGAGCTCCTGTGTACCCACCTGCAGACCTGCCAATTAGCAGGAGGCGATCACAGCAGCTGGACTCTGATTTTTGCTTTGGAAGTGGTTCAGTTTAAACCCCACAGAAAAGGAAAAGCAGCCTGCTGTAAACCCAACTGAGGGCGTTCCACTCGGCTCAAACACACCAGGTTTGCCTACACACCTTTCCCTACACAAAGGTGATGCTGCATTTGCAGGAGAATGCAGGTGAACATGAGAGTCTGCAGCCAGTGAAGAAGGCAAAGCACCAGTACTGGGATGCAGAGAATGGACCCAACTCCAAAGCAGCTGCTCATAACATTTGAATTCCCCCAGCTTCTGCCAAAGCAAACTGGCTGCAGAGCACAGAATACGCCAGAGGACGTGGCCAGAGCTCTGGTGTCCACGGAAAGCCACGGCGGTATTTGTGTCTGAGTCACAACTCAGAAAGGTGTCAACTCTTGCAAGCAGCCAAGGAAGATAGTTCTTTATCCTGACACGTTTTTAAGAGGATTAAAAAAAAAAAAAAAAAGAACAGGCAAAGCAAAGCAAAGCTGGCAGTCTCCAGCAGCTCACCCCCAAACATGCTGCTCCCCAGCTGCACCCACTGCACCACCCCGGGCAGAGCGGGCAGCCTTGCACAGCAGCTGCCTCCTGCCTTCCCAGCACCTTCTCCTCCCCACTCACATCCATCTTCTCCTTTCGGAGCAGATCACCCAAGTCTGGGCTCTTTGGAGAGGGAGAACGGGAATGGGGCTGGGGGGCACCCAGCACGGAGGCACTCGCAATTGCTCAGCACAAACACATCTGCAGCAGAACTCAGGCTCTCCAGGTGCTGACTGCTAGGAGGATGAATTCTGTGTTTTAACATCAATATAATGTTAAAACACGTCATTTTACAACGAACAAAAACATTTTCACGTTTGTAACAATGTACTTTAACATTTATACAGCGTTTTTCACCCCACAGGCACTGAGGTCCACAACACTGTGGGGAGGCAGGCAGAAGGTATCAGTCCTGGTCCATCAGCCAAGGAAAAGGCAAAGGGGGAGCAGGAGGGGAGAAAGGTTTTCAAAATCAATGATCCTACAGGAGAACAGCCCTTTCTGGTAAATTCTCATCCATATTTTGCCCCGGGTCACAGGGATCTCAACATTTCCCAAACCGATGTGATTTACCCTCGGTGCAGGAAAGCAAAATTTAACTCCGTTAAAAGTTCAGGTAAGGCTGGAGTTCTGCCACACCCCAAACACGGGGGGGAAGGGGGGTCACCCCTTTTCCCGAGAGGTGCCACCCCCCAGTCCCTGCCCCGGGGAGCACAGGCTGCAGATGGCTCCGAAGGAGGCGTTTAGGTGCGTTGCTCATTGTTCTTTTGTGCTGCGCAGCACCAGCCTCACGTACTGCCACGGTTTCTATGGTGAGTGCTCGTCCAATTTCTGTACTAGGCTACGAAACCACCTCACAGGCCCATTTTCTTGTTTCAGATCCTTCTGCAGAGCAAACAGCAGCAAAAAAAAAAAAAAAAAAAAGAAGCACACAGCACCTTCCCGCAGTCACAAATACCAGCCTGAGGACTGGCACAGGGATTGTCCAAAGGGATGGAAAAAACGGGCCAGTTGTGTCTGGCATGACCAGATGGATTTTTGAGATTTTGAGGTGGGTGTTTGTAAGTAATTAGATTAAAAAAAAAAAAAGAAAAAAAAAATTAGAAAGAACAGGTGTTTTTTTAAACGTGGCCGCATGCCTCGGTGCCAAGGACCCTTGGGAAAATGTGGCTCTTGACTGGGGAGGCTCCAGAGGGAGTTGAGACCTCTCAGGATCCCAGTCTCTAATTCTCAGCCTTTGTATCCCTTTGTATTTTCCATCATAATGCATTATATTAGCATGTATATATATATATATATATATATATATATAAAAACTAAAAGAGCTGCTAATTTCTCCAAGTTTCTTTCATCGGTTTAAATGTTCTCCTCACACCCTCTTGATCCAGCTCATCTTTTTTACTCATCCTTAAAGCTCAAAAATATATACACGTTTTCCCCATTAAAAAAATAAATTACCAATCTCTGAAGGAAAAAAAGTGTTCTGCTGCTTCTGTATTGAAAAACATAAATATCTCTGGATTTGTGAAGGTTGGAATAAATATATGGATTTGTGAAGGTTGGAAGAAATGCCTTTAAAAAAAAAAAAAAGAAAAATTATACTTTAGCATGTGAGTTTAAGCATTCAAAAAAATAAAAGCAATCCAATCACTCCCTACAAGCTTTTTAATCTATCCCTGGCAGAACAGTGTCAGGACTAATGAAAGAAACCTTTCCCCCATTCCTTTGTGGTGAAAGGGCCCTGACCCTCCTGCGTCTCTGCGATTCTTCTGCTCTAGCGGGTCTCTTTCTCCATTCTAAAATATTTTAAAGTGTTCTGTAGCTTGTTCATAATTAATAGGAATTTTACCTAATGGGAAATTAATGAACCAAAAAGGAGAAGGCTAATTACTGTAATTTAAGATTGGCAGTGGCTCTCAGACCCCACAAAGGATCGTGTTTTGCCATGCGTGTGCCGAGGACGAGCTCGTCGGCGCGGCTGGTGAGGATGCGCCGCTGGGAGAAGCGGCACAGCCCTGCGAGAAACCTTCATTGATAAATCACCTCTCAGGCACTTCTGACCACCCTCTCCAGGTGCTCTCTGCCGTTTAACTTCCAGTGGAATTGGACAAAAGGAAAGGTAATTGAACAGGGAGAGAAGCAACAGCAAAAAAACAAAGCTTGATAAAGAGAGAAGCCGCGCTTTCCTCCGGAGGAGGAATTGCCCACACATGTTTAAAAATGCTAAACCAACCGGGGTCTCTTTGTGTCCTGGAGAAAAAGAAACAAACTACAGCAACAAAGGAAAAAGAAAGAAAAAGAAACAAATTTACTGCCTGACGGGAAAGAGTATATCATGAAAATGGCAGGTAGATTCCTTTGGCAATGAGCCCCGAGTTCCATTGTTTTAACTGGGAGCTCTCAGACTCCTCCAGTTTGGTATCACAGAGATGCAGCAGCTCAAACAGAGTCCAGACTTGCATATTTTAAATGTGCTTTTCTCAGCCTCCAGCGCCTGCCCACATACAAAACCTACTCCACACTACCCTGGCCCTGCCATGAGTAATTCAGCCACGCAGAGCTCTGCCAGAGCCAGCACACGTAAGAGCACGGATTTACTCCATCGGTGAGAGGAGGCGAGTCATGAGTGCAAGTGCTCGGCTCTGCAGTCCCTGCCGGGCTTTTATTGTGTGCTAAAATATTTCCCACGTGCAAAATAATAAAGCCCCACCTTTTTTAATGCTAGGCTTGAAAATAACACCACCATTTTCCAGCTCGTCATTAAAAGATTTGGCTATTACATATTTTATTTGCACCTTGTTACACTAATGGACTTAACTAATTTGATAAGGTAGTGCTATTAAAACAGGGACTAGTCTCGCCTAATCCAGGTGAGCATGTTTGCATTCCCTCACTCAACCTGATGGAAGAGCCAAGGGGGAGCCAGGGAGGAGAAGCACCATGGGTTCCTTGGGATAAAGACAGGCAAAACTGCAGGAATTCTGCCCCGTGGCAGTATTGCTGCTGGCTCCAGTACAACCCTTTGATACAACCAGCATGCCTTGACTTACATTTTCTTTTATCCACCATTACCATTAGAGAAACCCAAGAAGAGGAACAACATCCTGTGTGTTTGGCACATGAGGCGCCTAACTGAAGTCCCTGTTACGCTTCCTTCACCCTCACAATGACCATAAATCAAACTGAAGCCAGCAACGTGCATCACAAGTATCTCCTGCCACCACAGCCCCAGGTTTTCCTCAGCGTGCAGCAGCCCTAAAAAACCCCTGGAGCTGTGCTGAAGCAGCTGCAGTGGAGACACCCAAGCCTTGCAGTGCTCCCCAGGGACTGTGCAGTTGGGGCTTGCTGGCAACCTGGCTCTACGAGTCCTCACAGAAGCCAACGAACGTGCAATGGTAGCCCATGATTTAGCAGCTAGACTGAATTTGTAAAGGTTTTTGGAGGGCCACAGAGGCAGGGAATAGGTTGGAGGGACTACAGGGAGCTCTGATAAGGGAGCTGGAGTGAGGAGAAAGTGCTCTGATAAAGGTGGGACACAAATTCCTTCAGTACATTGCAACATCCCCAAAGGCCACGGCGGCACTGGCATCTTGGGGACACAGGACTTGCCTTCGCCCTGCCCCTTACCTTCACTGAAGACAAAATCCGCGGGGATGTCGAAGGGCTGGAGCCGCACTTCAGACAGCAGGAGCTGCACGGACTTCTGGTGGTCACTGGAGATGAGGGAGATGGTCTGCTGGGCCTGGCACTCGTAGGACTTGCCAGCAGGGGTGACCAGGGCCGAGAGCCGGTGCGAGCTGGCCGTGTGCTTCCCAGCTGGCCAAAGGGACACAAACAAGAGGTCAGGTCCTGTTCTCCAGGGGCCCGAGGTGACTTTAGTGACAAAGGCAATGGACTGAACACGCGGGTGCGCAGCCGGTGCGCAATGCGGTGCCCGCGCGCTCCACTGCTCCTACGGCACCACTGCTCCCACAGCACGGCTGCCCCTACAACACCACTGTTCCCACAGCACGGCTGCCCCTACAACACCACTGTTCCCACAGCACGGCTGCCCCTACAGCACCACTGTTCCCACAGCACGGCTGCCCCTACAGCACCACTGTTCCCACAGCACGGCTGCCCCTACAGCACCACTGTTCCCACAGCACGGCTGCCCCTACAGCACCACTGTTCCCACAGCACGGCTGCCCCTACAGCACCACTGCCCGCGCTCCTGTTGCAGGACCTGAAGCCTGTGAAAGTTGGAGGAATGGCTGCTATTGACACACGTGCAAGTTTCAGCCTGGGACTGTGCTCCTACTCCCCACATTTGGGAAACGGCAACTCCTGAGGCCGCACTTGAGCTCAGGATTCAGGTGGGAAGGAGAGATGCAATCTGGGGACCGCACTCCAAAGCAAAACAGGCTGTAATGCCTTTCCTGAAACTACAACGTGACCATTTCACCCAAGCATAAATTACAACACAATATTTTCCCGTCCAGTTTGTTTTACAAGCGAAGGCCGAATGCGGCTCAGCAAGGTGGAATGAGGGATGCCTTCCACCTCCCACTCTTCTGCAGCCCTTTGTTCCCCTTCAGCAGCACAGAAAAGCAATCAGTGTTTCACACTGACAGAAGCTGATGAGGCATGGCCACCACCGTGTTTTGGGGACTCAAACAGTAGAAACACTGGTGGGAAAACAGCCCCATATCTACTGTATCTTACAGCACAAACTCTTAGCGTGCTATTCACTGGAGTTCAAAAATCCTGAGGAAGAATGATTTGCAGATGACAGTATTTCAGTTTTTTGGTACAAGACAACTAATTTCTGAGCAGAAACGAAATAAAAACAAAATGAAAGCCAAAAGAATGGAAAGCCAGCGAGAAAAGAGGAGGCTGCTGGGTGCAGAGGCGTGTAGGGGTATGATACTGATGTCAATCTCATCCTGGGAAACTGCTGCTTTTCCACCTATTCAACCATCATCAGAAGCAAGGAAATAATTAACCTTAAAAAACATCTCCCAGAGGAAAGGAGGAGACAAGCTTTTTCAGCCCAGGTGGCCTCAGACCCTGGGTCCCACCGGAGAGCCTGGGGCAGCTCAGCACACACGGGCAGAGCTGGGCTCTCCCTCCCACGGCAACTGAGGTTATTAAACACAATAAAAAGGGAGGGGGGCGTTAAAAAAATTAGCACGCGGTTTAAACCCGGCAGCTGGTCCCGGCTTTGTCGGGTAGGTTTAGATCTTCCCCGTGAAGCTGTGCTTAGGCGAGTAGACTGCGGGGTGCCCGCCAGACCCCCGGGATCCCCCTTAAACCCCGTCCCCCGGGCGCTTACGGCTCACGGCGTCCTTGAAGTAGGTGCGCTCGGAGGTGTCGTAGGTGAACTGGATCCGGCTGAGCCTCCAGAACGCCTCCGGCCCCCGGGACGTGTTGTGCCCCTCCTGCCGAGATACGGCTGGTCAGGGCCCCGCGACGCCGCCGCGCCCCCTCCCCAGCTCCCGGGCGTGCGGGGGAGCCCGTACCTTCAGGAAGAAGAGTTTGAGGGTGTACGCTTGCTCCAGCCAGGAGAGCTCCAGCTCCGACTCGTTAGTGCCACACTTGCCCTTCATCTCGGCGCCCCGCGACAGAGGGATATCGGCTTGCTCCGTAATCAGCTGGAAACGGGGAGCCGGGGCTCAGGTGGGTGGGTGGCCCCGGATTTTCCCTGGGAACCCACGGCCCCCCCCACTGCCCCGGCTGCAAATCCTCTGAGGGGATACAGGACTTTCCCAAAGTACCGGCGGATGTGTGTGTGTGTCCCATGCCATCCCCGGTCCTGCCGGAGCCCCGGAAGCCCTCTGGGCTGTCCTGCCGCCCCCGGCCCCCACTCACATCCACATAGTTGCTGGCCCACACGTCGTAGGGGACGATGAACTTGGCGGCGAATTCGGCCATGAGACATGTCGTCCGGTTTTCCCGCACCACGAAGATGTCCTTCTCGGGGTTAGGGGAGAGCCCGGAGAGGTTTTCAACTTCTTGCTCGGCTGCCAGGCGAGCCGCGGCATCTGCGGGCACAGAGGGGCTGAGCCCGGCAGCGATGGGACCCTCTCCCCAAGCCTCTGCCGGCTCACCTGAACACCCCCGGCACCCCCGAGCCCGATGGAATAAGCTCCTCTATCGCGACACGGCGCCCCTGTCGCGACAGAGCAGGTAGCGGAGATGGGGCAGCCAGTGGCGGTGATGCGGGACCGGTGCTCGAACAGCGCCGGAGGCTGCTCCATCGCGACAGGGAGCCGCCACGGTACTCACGGAAGAGGAGAAGCAGCCCCGGGAGGCGCCCCCCGGCCATCCTCCCTGCTCGGTCCCGGCGTGGCCGCGGCTGCTGCAGCTGCTCCTCCCAAAGGGTCCGCTCCGGAGAAAAGAAAAAAAAAATAAAAAGGAGGAAAAAAAAAAAAAGCTGCACACCTCTCAGGAGCCGCACAGGCTGCAAAAGCACACTGCTGCGGAGTGGCGGGGAGGAGGGACGGGGAAAGTGTGTGGGTGTGCGGGGAGGAGGAGGAGGAGGAGGGGAGATGCCGGCGGAGCTGATGGAGGCGCCCACGCCGAGGGACGGGGCGTACGCACGGCCAGGAGGGGAGGAGGGATTCCCCACCTCGGGCGGTGGGGACCCCGCGGAGGGGCCGCCGGGGATCCCCGCGGGGACCTGGGGTCACCCCGACGTGCGGCTGGAGCGGAGCGAGGCTGATCCCCAGCGCTCCCCGCTCCCCCGGGCACGGCCGGAGGAGGGAGCAAGGCCGGGGCCCCCCCGCCCCAGGGCCCGGCCGGCGATCCCCGCTGGAGAGGCCGGCGGGGCAGGGGGGGATGGAGGAGGAGATATCTAGTCCAGCCGGCTGCTCACGGAGCGTCACTAATTTCGGTGAAGCCGAACAGCTGCTTCGCGTGTTAATTTAGAAAGAAACGTGCAGCTATTTTTGTGTGGCAAGGTCAGGAGCAAACCCGCAGCCTTTTGTGAGCGGGAGACACACCTGAGCTCTAAGACGTCGCGACAAACCGTAACACGTACTGTAACACAAAACATATCATCCCGTAGGTCCCGACAGCCCCGAGAAAGGTGCATCAAACAAAAACCAACACCGGCCGTGCCTTTGCGGGGCGTTTTGGGGGAGCAGGGCGGAGGTGATACCCGGGATGCGCCTCAGAGGGGGACACAGTGCCAGCAGTGCTGGGGCTCGCAGCGGTTTGTCCCTGCCCGGCGCTGAGGGGAGAAGGGGCTGAGAGGCGGAGAGTGCACCCCCTCCCTGGGAAGGGAGGGCTGCCCGCCCCCCGCCCCGGGTGTGCGGTGCTGTTGGGGTCCCTCAATTGCTCATCAAACGGAGCCTGCCTTTCCTCCCTGCGAGCAAGGGGGCAGGGGCTGGACAGGACCCCTTGGCTGCCGGCAGAGGGGTCTGCGGGGGCAGCAGGCGCATTGCCAGCCCGGGTGAGATGCTGGTCCCCTCCTGGGGGTGCGAGGCAGTGGTTGGAGGCCGCTCTGGGGCTTCCCCGCTCTCCCTTTCACCGGGTGATGCGAAGGTGAAATATTTTTTTTCCCCCGGCTCTCATCAAAAGCTTTTTTTGGAGCTTTAACGCGCTGCCACCCGCGCCCCGGGACCAGGAGCACATCTGATTATTTACCATTTACAGCGACACTGGTTCCAGGAGCAGCAAACCCTACACTGAGGATGGTTGTTTTTTTTTTTTGTTTTTGGTTAAAAGCCAAAGGGACAGCAGCTATTCGGAGTGTGTGGCGGAGTCATCAATTCACATTTCTAGTTCAGGAAAAGGCGTCTGGAGGAAACGGTCCAGGGTTTTGCGAGGCAAGGTGAGTTTTGATTGTGGGCAGCTGCCCTTTCTCTGCCAGGGCATGCACCTGCAGATAGGGGCTTTCTTGCTGGGAAATAGCTCTTTAAAAATAAAAGCAGGTACTGAAGGAACATATTGATTTTTGTAACTATAACGCTGAAATTCCTTTTCTGCCTGCTGTACGTAATAAATATATTCTGACCATCTCCTCTCTCTCCCGTTTCATGACAAAGAGTCAATCCTGGCCCCCGCCCCAACAGAGTCAGACCTGTGTTGGTTGTAATACAGGTTTAACCTATAGATAATAAGTTCAAGGGACTCTATAAAGGAAAAAAATATAATCTCCTATACTAGGCTCTTTGACTGTAACAAACTACATTTCTGTGGCAATTGTAGTGCCTGGCTCCCTCCGTTTCTTCACCGATGAGCCCAGTATTTAACTACCTTCTATTTCCTCCCCTAGTCCCCTATTTAATTTCCAGGTTTTTTGAGGTTTCTAGGTAGCTCCTAAGCCTCACAATGCACGATCCTGAGCAGCTGCCCCCTGCATCCAGGCTGTGTAGGAGGGTACCACAGGGAGCAGCTGGGAGAGAGCAGCTGTGCTGGAGGCAGAGGCAAGCCTGACCCACGGCACAGCACCGCGGCTCTCCCGGCACCCGCCAGCTGCACAGCACAACAAAAAACCCTCCAGCTCCAGGGACAATCGCCACTTCTAGGCTCCAGAGCCACACTGTTCTCCGTGGCAAAACAGGAAAAGGCCTAAGATTTCCTAAAACCAAATAAGCCCCAAAACACGGCCAGAGCAGAAAGGTCTCACCTGAGGGAGCCAGTGCAGCGTTACCTGCCCTGAAATGCTGTGACCGGGGCCAATTTACAGTCATGGACTGGATCACCTGGAACCAGACCTGCAACCTGCCTTTACCCAAGCAGCCTCCACAGCTGGGGGTGTCTCTGAAGGTTGAATACCCCAACTACCCCCCACCTACCAGGCAGCAGTAACTCTTACCAGCCTCGTCGAGGGGAGCACACAGCGCGGTGACAGCGGGGCCGCAGCCCTGGAACCACTGCCGGCACATCCAGCAGGAACAGGGTTTTCTGGCCGACTGGCTCCTCTGGGACGTGCCTGCCACTTTGCAGCCGGTTTCACTGGCAGCCCGTGGGCAACAGCATGCGGAGTCTACAAGGAAATCAGCCCCCCAGGGGTATTTTTGGGTCTTTAGTGATGCAGTTTAACTGCACTCAGGTGGTGCAGGTGTTAAACAGACCCCCATCTGGAAACAGTGACCAAGCCCCAAATTACTGGAGGTGAAAGAATAGAGGGCTGCCTGTGAGGCCAGGGTGTCATGACCCTTCCCATCACAGCAGAGCTGAATTTATCTGAAGAGATTCAGAGAGGGAGAATCTGCCACTTCCCTCGATGAGATTTCACTGAAGTGGAATCCATCACCCTGGCAGGGAATGACATTTTAAACTGCTTTAACTCGGTATCAATGTTCAAATTGATTAGCCTATTTCATCTCAATGGAAATTCTCACCTCATTACATTAGCGGCCAAACTTCAAATAATTTCTGAATCAAATACAACTTAAACAGCATTTCAAAATACTTAGCTGACAAAATTCATCACTTAATTTCAAATTACTGCCTGCGTTTTATGCAAAATTGCCAACGGATAAAATAGGCATCAGTGTTGGGAGCTGAGCCTGGGAGCTGAGGTTTCCTGCTCTGCGGTTTCACAGAAGCCCGTTTTCTCTCTGACTTGACAAATGTCTGGCTCCTGGCTGAGCAGTGAGCACAGACTCAAACAGGGGCTGTGGACAGTATTTTCTAGCCTTCCAAAAGCCGTGTTTTCCCCTGATGGATAGGGCACTCGCCAGGGAATTAAAGCAGGCAGGTTTGATTTTTTTTTTTTCAGAGATGGATGTGAATTGAACCCAAGTCCTCCATTTCCAGTTATTTCTTTAACAGGTAGGGCAGTTTTTTCCAGCCAGACTGTAAGTGAGCCTACGTTGCTTCACAATTCAAGTTGCCTCTGTGTCTGGTCTGTTATTTGCTTCTCTTTTCTGGCTAGAAACCACTGTGGTAGGCAACAGCATAAAATTCCAGCTCTCAGCACTGTCTCCACCAGCTGTGTTTTAGAAGACATTTTTAAATTAAAAGAAAAATCAGAATAATAAAAAAAACGCCCTGAAATTACAGGTCCTGTCCAGAATGGTCTGAAAAAGCTGCTGCTCCCAGCTCCATCCAGCACTCGAGATCGGCTTAGGCAGCAGGGAGAGCTGCTCCCAGGACACAACTTGTCTTTTAAAACATCATAAGGAGCAGGAGATGCCTCCCTAGGTTGTGGCATCAGAGTGGGAATTCTGAATACGCACCACAAGTTTGTTTAAACCCTGCTTTAAACCCCTCAAGACTCACTGACCTCTGTCTCAGCTGCATTCTCAAAGCTGTGCTGCTACACTCGACTCAGGCTGCTGCATCTCCAGGCAATGCTGCTACACTGTACTGGGGTAGACCTCTAGTGCTGCCAGGACCAATGCTGCACAATGCTTCTATCACTTCAATAAAATTAAAAAAAAAAAATAAATAAGAGACTCCTTTGACTAAATAAGCTGTGATAGAAATATATTTACACTATGCACATTTTTACAGGAAATACAACTTGCTAAAAATTTGCAGTTAATAACACCACCGCCCTGCAATTCACTGCAGTCAAAACTAAAGGATTGGAATTTTTAAGGTTTTTATTAGAGAAGTTGAAAGTTTCATCTCAGGACCGACAATAACATAATTATCTCTTTTCATTTATTTTGTTTATAGGAATATGTAGAATTTGTTTGTACAAGCATATACAACAAAGTAATTGGTGCTTAGTACATTGAAATCAGGAATCTGATTTGTTCTAAACTACCAGTTTTCCATGCAGTCATCTTTGAATTGGCAGCATGGACAAATTCCAAGCGGAATGCTTACATGCATTGTTTTGCAATATAACTACAGCAAGCTCTGGAAACATGCAAATTAACACATTAGCAAATTGGTTTTTTATATCTAATGGACATAAAAAGGTTATTCCTGATATGAAATTCTGAAAATCTGCATAAATACTTCTGTGTAAAATTAAATTAGTTATGTACTTTTCTTTTACTACAAGTATCAAGAATGCCCACGTAATTAATATACACACATATATAGAGAGACCTTGTAATGCTAAAAGTCTTTGTAATTAATCAAACAATATTCTGTGCCATACATTTACTCAGTATTTACCAGCTAGTAGCATGACTGTGGTCATATAGTAGGCATTACAGTCTTAGTAGCGTTTGTATCACATGCAAACATACTCTTAGCATTTCTGCTCACTAATTTTTATCACGTGGCAACATGTATGTGATTTTCTACAATGTTGTGATTCCCAAGTGTATAAATACTTTTTACATTTTCACAGTTACAAACTTTTTGCCAAAAGCCATTTAAACAATCTTTTAAGTTACAACGAACTGTAGTATCCGGGATCTGCAGCAACAGGATCAAAACGCAATTTCTATACAAGCAATGTAGGATGTAAACTTTTCTTAAAGTGCCTAATACGTAATTCCTTAGAGCACTGATCAGTTTTGGCACAAATACACTGTATTTCCCTCAGGTTATCCACTGCAGCAACTTTTACAGGATATGGGCTCCTTTCAGACATTATGACAGAGTTGATATGGCACTTGTGAATGACATCATTAGGCTGCAGCAACATCCTGTCAAGTTACTGTTGCAGCGGATGAATTTGGCCGATGACTTTGTACATACTTGTACTTCTGAATACACGCAGTTACCTTTCGACTGCCTGCTGCCTGGAAAATACCTTGGAACATAATTTATAATCACCCCAACTCAGCTCCTCACTCTCCTGATTATTAGGGTGACCTGGCATAAGATCCGGGTCGGCGGGCGCGGTGACACGAGGTGTCGAGCATCTGACGAGCGGCTGCTTGTCGGGATCTGGCAGCAGGGGGGTTTCTACACAACCTGTCACTGAAATGGTAAATAGCATGACTCGACTACAGTTTTTGTTGCCATCTGAGATGATGTTAAAAGTATCTGCTGTGTTTCGAGGCTCTGATTGTGTAATTCTGGTGCAGGCAAGCTGCCTGATGAGACACGGGAAGGAACACGGGGATGGGGTTTAAAAAAAAAACCGTCTTCATCTTCAGAAATCCAACAAAGGAAATTCAGTGCCCAGTGTTAAAAAAAAAAAAAAAGGAAATAATGCAAACCATAAGACTTGGTGGTCCGTAGCTACGCTTTACATATTAAAAACAAAAAAAACCCAAAACAACCCCCTTCTAAAAACAAAACAAAACCAAAAAAAAAGAAAATAATAAAAAAAAAAAAAAAAAGGAAAAAAGCCCACTTTTCAGCCTCAGCAATGTTATTTTGAATTTTGCTCTCATTTTAAAAGGATGCTGTGTTCTCCAACTTCAATTTGCTTGTTGAGGCTTCAGACCACTGTTGCTGGCCTGCGATCCATCTCTGCTTCCAGCTTCACCATCTGCTGCATCTCCTTTGCCTGCAATCCAAAATAACCGCATGAAGCGTCGCATTAGACCTTTTGTTTGAAAGGAAGCACACGTTTTACATGACAGTGTCTGACTGAAATACAGGCAAAACACACTGAGATATATATGCAATAACATTATTTTTTACACCCCTCAGCCTCCCCCGTGTCATTCTGTTTTCAAAATCAGGTGTAACCCTTATATCTACAAATTCACGGGGAATATTTTTGATCCTATTCCAGGACTCGTGGGTTGACTTTCTAAAGCGTGTGGTAAAATGCAGAAGCCCCAGTTTGGGGGAAGGAAGCTGGGCAGATGCCAATTTGTCTGTTTCTCCTGACAGGACATGTTTTTGGGAATGTATTCTTCAATGCTGTACTGCGAGTACTCCGATGTGTTAATTTCTGAGATTTTTAGAGAATTCATCTATGATCTGGACTTTTTTTTTTTTTTATAAAGGCAAGGAAAGACTAAAACCTATGAGTGTAACACCTTCCTTGCAGTAGGCAAGTTATTTTTCAGTACTAATTTTTAAAATATTAGTTTTTACAAAATAATCTCCATCTGGCCTGGAGATCCTTATGATTACAAGAGGGGGTGTTTGTCACCTCAGGATTAGACTGCTATATGCTCCATGGGATTACACACACTGAATCCACCTGAAACTGTATCCAAACGCATTATGCAAAATACAGCAATGAATATATGCCAGACATGGCCATAAACTCTGTGTGCCTGAGGCTTTGCAGGCAGAGTTAAAGCACTGTGTATAAATGGTAACTGGCCTGGGAATCCCCTCTTAGAGGGTGTTTGTTTATTCCTTTCCTTTCCCTCCCTCTCTCAGATACACACAGAGGCACAATTTCTCCTCCTGTTACAGTGTTTTGGTGTGAAACTCTGTAGTTCAAAGAAACTTGGAGTCAGCATCTTCATTTTCCCTGAGGCCTCTCAATCTGGGAAGTTATTTAAATCCATATCTCCAAGGATCCTGAATAAATTGACCCAGAGAGCAATCTAACCCACCTATCTTTATAACCAAACTCCTGAGCATTAGGACAAGTTTAGGAACAGACAAACCAAGCCAGTATTTTCCTTTGGTTTAACTGCTCCACATCCATCACACAGGGAATAATGGTTAAGGGACCTGATTTACATAAACTATGTTCCAAAAAAAGTTGTAAATGTTGCTTAGGCAGGGAACACTTTGCTACACAAGCTCCTACTTAAGGAGTCACCTATTCTGTATGTGCAAACACATATCTGCATGTGTGAAAATGGGAAGATGTAGGTCTAAAGTAATGAGATGCACCACTATTCCTTTTGCAAGGTAAATGTGGATTTATACAGATGTGACATACCTGCCTTCTTGAAAAATCTAGCCCTGTCCTTTCTTAATTATCATCATCATCATCTTAGGGAAAAAAAGTAATTATGATAATAGCAAAGCAACTGTCATAAATATGATTCAAAATTAATCAACACTCTCCATTTAAATGACTTAAAAGTTTGAAAGCAATGAAGAAATAATTTTAACATGAAAATATGGAAACATAATAAATAAATCAATATGGACAACCTCTTCTGAAATGTTGGCTGGATTTCGCCTGCATGTGAAATGAAACTCCAGATGAAAACAAAACCTTGTGGTTGTTTCTCAGTGACTCACACATCTCACGTTTTAGGCTTGTGACTTAACTCCTGGCACACAGTGTCCTATAAATATTCTGCCAGTGTATTGTGTACAGAACTTGTTGTAGAGAGAACCTGGCTTCAAAGAACACATTAGCATATAGCACAGGGTGCCTGGTTTTGCCAGTCTGAGCCTGGTTGAGACAGTGCATTCTGACCTGAACCACTCGAGCACAACTCTGGAAGATGAGCCTTCTGGAAGGCAGCACTGAACCTACAGCGAACCCATGAAGTGAGGGACAGCCAGTGGACTCTGCTTTCAAGATTCTCTCTAGTGAGATCTCAGGCAGGCTAGGAACCAGACACAGTAGAAGAAGAACAAAAATAATTTTTTTCCTAGCCTAACAAATGGGTTTTTTTCATCATTATGTGTGTATAAACAGATTAAGTTGAAGTGGGTGCTGTCAGTGGTGCAAGATGTTATCAATTCAGATCAGGCAGTACTGTAACCATGGGATGTTCAAGCCCAGTGCAGCTCTTTCCCTTGGCCAGACAGGGGTTAACAGAGATTTCTTGTGAGTAACGATCACTTAGGGAGCCACGGCAGCACAGCCACATCACAAGTGTGATTGCCACACCTTGTAACACGTTGGAATTTGAAGTGAATTTTAAAGTGCTGGAAGCCTCTCTTCCTTAGGCACCAGGAAGCTATTTCTAGCCATCTATTCTAGATTTTGCTATTCTTAGGGTGGAATTACTTATTTTATTACCATGCTAATATATGTGGGTACCCTTTGTCTGACTATCAGCATTAGCAGGTAATCATATGTATGTTAACACTAAAACAGTTTTCTTAGATCAACAGACACTCTCACACAGCTCAGAACTCTAAACAGATCTTTCAGTAACAGCAGCTAATGTACAAGTTAATCTCTGAATATTTCCTCTGCACATCCCTGTTCATATGCATCTGGATTTGAGATGCTAAAGCACAAAATAATGTTAATATTGTGTCAGGCTCAAATATCTGTGTGCAAACAAGATTAACATTGTGTTCACTATGTCAATGGCACTTCCCAATGGTTGCATTTACAAGGAGGGCTCCAATGATAATGATTTAATTTAGAAGGAAAGCACACTGAAATAATAGTTTGCTTATTATACGTCCATCCTACCTTGTGTTTGAGAGACTGCATGACAGGATTTCAAAAGCTGTTTGTACAAAAATAATAATGTCAAAATTGAGTAATACAACAAGAAGCAAATTAAATGAATGAAAACTGAAGTGAGATTGAGAAATTAATGCAAGAAAAACATACATAAACCAAAACAAATTTAAATTCATAACAGTTTGTATTTTGAAGGCTGTTTCCACCCATAAGTCTACTTTTCTACATCGTATATTTGTATGAAACTTTTCTTGCTTTGTTTAGATCAGGAAAAAAAAAAAAAACTTTGAAATTATCATTAAGCAAATACCACCTTTATCTGGATCCAACCAGCTTTCATACATCAACGTGTGTAACAGTGAAACCAGAGCCAGCTGGGGCTTTGCACTGATGATGCACTTTTGGGGCTAAAAGGAAATGGTCAAAATAGCACGTGCGAAAATACACGCTCTGATGGATCAAATCAGAGTGAGTTAAAAAGCTGCTGAGGACTCCCCCTGTGGCAGAGGCCACCACATGCCCAAACAGAAGTGACAACCCGTACGTAGATGAGTTTACTCCATTTAATCACTGATGATTTAAGCTGACTCCATCCTTGCCCTGAAATGCTGTATGAGCAAGCCCACGTAGGCTGGACCATCCCTCAGCAGGTGAGGGAAGTATCTAACTGCTCAAAGGTGACCCCTTTAATCTCCCCTCCTTTATACACAATGTGGTTATTACATTATGGTTACAGGCACAACTAGAATCATTCTCTCTTGTCCTCATGCTTTTAAAAAAATGGATCCAGGGCTCTCTGAAGCCAGTGGAAAGAAACAACAGATGACACCTATCTCCGGATCCAGCCCATCATTTCTCTGTCAACTGTCACGCTCTCTACAGTGACGCCCCAGATCTGCTGTAGCCCAGTGTTCTGGCTGCCCTGGGTGCTGCATTTTGACATCGCTCAGGAGCAGACAAACTGATCCAAACAGATCCATTCATGCTGGATGTTTCAAATGACCTCTACAGACTGTTCCTGTGAGGAAACACGATTGTGGTTGTTGTTCCAAGGGGAGGTGGGGTGATCAGAAGACAGAGCCCTGGTGGCTGGGGCTTGCTGGTAGTAACCACCTGAGATCCAACATGCTGTGACCCCCTAGAAGTTACCCAGGTTGCAGCTTTTGGGGCTGCAGGACTCTGTCCTGGCACTGGAAATACTTGATTTGCATGTGCTCTTCCCCTGCGAGATGGCTTTAATTCATGTTATGTTTTCCAGAGAGTTCAAGTTCTGAACATTTAATAAACTAAGAAGTAAGTACATAACCCTTGAAAGTAATAGGTATTAAATGCTCCCCTTCTCTCTCACCTCACTGAACTCCTGGGTATATTCCCCCTGCAGTTTACATCTGTAAGTGCAGTACTGCAAGTCCATGCACTTATTACAGCTCTTCTGGCTCAACCTTTCAGCAGGGGAACTGCTCAGAACACAGTGTTGCTTCCACCAGAAATAAGATTAGAATTTTCCCTTCCTTGCCAAGTAGTTTTTCAATTAAAAAAAAAAAAAAGGGAGGGGGGTTTTTATAAACTAGCAGAAAATAATAAGGTATTTTAATTAGGAAAGGGTGTACTAGTACAGATAAAACTCCCCATGCTACTTTACATTGCTGGAATTCAGTCCAAACTCTCTGTCTCTTAGGAGTTCAGAGATGCTCAGTGCACATGCCTCACCTCGAATTTTCCAATCAGTACTACAAATGTTAGCTTCCAAAACGAAGGAAACCGATTGGCTTGAGGTACTTTTTTGGGAGTAATTACAGTGGATATGCTGGGTCTTGTATGGCTCTCACACCTCGCTAATGAGTATCAGCGTGGCTGAAGAGCTGTAAGGACAGGCTCCAGCTGAGCGGTTCAGCTTCCACGTGCTTATCTGACACAAATCTGGTTCTGCATCAATATTTACGTCACCTCACCTCTTCCTTTTGACTCCCCAAGCAGCTGAGTGACTGTGAACAAGGTCACTGTGCCCATTTTGGTAAAGACTTACATTTAGGAGCATTCTTACTCAGCCTGACTCTGGTTACTGTTTTCACTACCTTGCTTTTCTTTTAAGCCTTTAAAAGAAGATACCTGCTCGTTCTGCTTCTCCAAGACTTCCAAATGCTCAAGCTGAACTTTTTTCAACTGATCCATTTCCTTTGACTGCTTCATTGCCAGCTGTAATGGAGAGAAGACAATTGGGGGGGGGGGGGAATGCAAGACGTTATTAACAAGTAAAATAAAAACTTACTTGAAACATATACACATATATACTGTCATCCCCATTTAGATGGCAGAAAACATCACAGGAGGCTATTATATCACCCAAGCTTAAGAAAAACTATTAACACAGATATATTGTACATATTGCATATGATACACAGAATTAGCAAACACACAAGAATGAACAGTAATTCTGTTAATTTGAAACAGATTCATCTTATATGGATGTTAGGTCTTTTATGCTACACGTATGTGGAACAAAGCAATGACAAAATCTACTAGAGCTGGATTCCCAACACAGAGAAATGAAAAAGAATATCCAGAAACAGTGCCCAGTGACTTGGTCAAGGTTATAGTTACCCTTTTTCTCTCTTCCAGGAACTTTTTTGTGTTGCTGCTGTTCAGTTCTCTGACTCGCCTAAAAAAAAAAAAAAAGCAAATGTTGACCATGAAGACTCATTGGAAAAAAATAAACCCAAAAGCTACAACAGGGTAGAATCCCAAACTCTTAGGGTATATTTTGGTTTTAGAATATCTGTACCACGTGGGGCTAACAGCAAATTGTACAATCCTGGGGCTACACACTTTTACACTTACATTAACAGCATGATCGAAAACTTGGCTGTTGTGAATGAACTTTGATTTTGCCCTCACTCAAGAGTGGTAGACAAAACTTTAAAGAATGTTTAATTCATTTGTGCACCCCTTGCTGCACTCTGCCTTCAATTTGTTTTGGTATATAAAAGGTGCTGCATCTCTTAACAGTGGGAAAAATCATCTGATGATCATATGTAAAATTACAGCTTATCGATGCTGGAAGGTTCTTAAAGCTGCTATTTAGGCAAAAACATAAGCATACAATTAGTATTTACATAAAATACCTAAATGCAAAGTGTCTCTTCCTAAGATTTCTGTCACGAAAGAGGACAAAAATAGTTCAAAGAGGTGAATCAGCCTAATCACAAAGCCTGAAAACCAGAACTGTATTTAGCCTTGCTTTCAGATCTGCAAGCAGATTTATCTCGGAGTCATTTCTGGGGTCTGACATTACCAAAGCACACAGTTACCAGGGGCTCTGACAACTCATCTTCCTGATGAGCTGGGAGTGTGCAACACTCCAGGGACTCAGTTCAGCACGAACGGGTTCAAGCTGATTGACCAAAATAGCCCAGTGCCAAGGAGGGAATGTAAAAGAGGAAAGACTGAGCCAGATGGCAAGCCCAAAGACCAGGGGAAACCCTGAAGGCTGATGAGACAACATCATGTAGGCTCTGCTTTCAATCCCTTTTCAGTAAGGCCCTCATTCCACTTAAAAAGCAAAAGAGGATAATGCACTTGAAGTACAGTCATTAAACCCCTTACAGATGTGTTTCAATGTAATTGATTAGACCTACTCTAGTCAGTCACAGATGATCAAGGCATTACATTTATTAAAAGGACAAATACGAGAAAAATCATTATTTTTTTCTAAAGCATCTAAAAATACATTCGGCATAAAAGCCTGGTTTTAATAGAATTAATCCATGAGTTCACCTGTCAGCATTTGACAGCATCCTCCCCTCCTCAGGAAGGGAGATCTGACACTCACCTCTCTCTTTCAGCTTTATTTTTGATAGATTTGTCTTGGCTTATGGCTTTGCTGTTCTCCATAGATATTTTAGCCTGGTTGGCACGCATCTCCTTGCTTTCCCTGGGGAAAACCAAACACAGTCATTAATGCCTCAGATGCGGTTGTTGTGGAGGTTGGTTTCCTCTACACTGTGGTTGATTTTGCCCTTGAGGAATTAAGGAAGAGGAAAGAACAAACCACATGAAAACTGCCTTCCTTGGGGTAGACTTTACACAGTTTGAGCAAGCATCCAGAAATCTCCATTTGTTCCAGAGAATATAATCTAGAAAGATCACTTTAATGCATTTTGTACACTGTGAATGCTGTAAAAGGGTATAAAATACCCTCTTTTCTCCCAACTATAAGAGTTGTCTTAGTATGAGCTACTATCAGCCATTTAAAATTTATTTTTGACAGCTTAAATTTTTTATTAAAGAAGTTTGGTGCCTTTTTTTTTTTTTTTTTTTTAATCTCCAAGAGTTCATAAGGTGAAACATTTCCCGGATAGAGATTTAAAAGCAGTGGTATCACAGCAAAAATTAGACTGGGTTCTAAAAAATGCTGTGTTGAGAGCACACTTCATTCCAACAGCCCCTTCTCCAAATAAGAGCTTTTATTTTCTATACTGAATTTGAAGTAATTTTCAAGCACACTGTCTTAAGAGGAGTACTGCAATAATTTATTTTTATTACTGTGCTCAAGGATATGAAAAAAGTTAGCGTAGGTGTTCAAATTGATTTAGCCTGTTTGCATCAGATATAATTTTAGAGTGAAAGAAGTTAAGAGGATTAGAGGACTACTGTGCATCACTGATGATTGCAAAGTGAGGCCTTGGTCATGGAGATGGTTGAAAGAGCCAACACAACTATTTATTTTGCAGGTATAATCTAGGTCTGAGCTGCACTGCTGATAGGGTCTTTTCTGGGGCCGCTGGGTTTTCACTTGCAAGAAAAATAAAAGATATTACTAACAGAAGAAATGAAAAATATTATCTTCCTTTTAAAATAATCTAGAAGCACTTGTAGATGTAGATGAATCAAGCAATCCTTGATCCTAAAATAGCGTTTCTCAAAGTAAATAAGAAGTTGCAGTGGCCAAAGTTCCAGTGTCAGCTCAACCTCCTGGCCTGGGGCCTTCAAGTTGAGTCTCCAGTTCAGCAGTAAAAACACCCTCCCTCTCACAAGCAGTGGTGGTGCCTGTAGCCAGAGGTAACTGGAAGAAATAAATAAGCCAGGATAGTAAAGAAAAAAATAATAAAAAAAAAAGGATTCTGAAAAACATGGCGTGGCAAGATTTAACTGCTGATTCTCCACTGTGTCACATTGACTGCAACTCTGAAACTTATACAGACGCGTCTTTTAAAGGGATACTTGAGGTGTAAGTCTATCCTTGGTATTTATATATATGTATTTAGATGACATTGAAGTGCATTAACATGTTATATCACCAGTATTGTCTGAATGACTAGAAACCTCTTCTTCTATTAAAAAAGCGCCACCACAGAATTTTCCTTTCTCTCGTGTCATTTTACCTGGAGTACAGAATGCTTGTGAACAACAGCTTCGTGTCCCCAGTTTCTGAAATGCTGCAGGATCACTGCATCCAGGGGAGTAAAGGTAACAGTCTGAGGAGGTGGGGGGCACAGCATCCCCAGAGTTCAACCAGCTGCAGGTTTTTAGTAGTGTCTGCTGCCTTCTGCTTTGTTTTTAAATGAGCTCAAAGCACAAACTGTAATTGCTTTTTGTAGTGCACTTGGAAGGAAGGTATCTACCCCTCCAGCAGATAACTGCATCATTTTAGATTATTGATCCCTCCTCTCAGCCCTGTGCCCTCTGCTGTGATATCCACCTCATTACCCCAGCTCACAGAGGGGGAAGCAGTGAGAACATCATGCTGAGAGCGTGGTCCAACCTCCCACATCACCCTCAGACAGATCCTTTTTTAACCATGGATACCAGAGCTGTCTCTTGGCTGCTACATACACCTCTACAGATAAATGCATATGTCTTCCTACACACAATATATGGCATTAAAAAGTCTACCAGTTATTTAGTGTGAAGTCTTCTGAAATATTCATAAATTCAGATAGCCTTAAATTTGTTTTAAACAGGAAATTCCCCGGTCTGCACGTTTAGGACTTCCACATGAATTCCCAAACACACTAAACTGCAATGAATAAAGCAGAAAGAATATTGAAGGTTGGTACTCCTGGGACAGCTGAGAAGAGAAAGTTCTCAGCATTTATCAGGATGAAGATTTTCAGATCTAGTTCTCAGTAGCTCTGAAAGTGGAGCAATACATGGACTGAACACAAATGATTTCTAACAAGAAAACAAGATCCATTGCTAAGAACATAAGAATTATGTACAAAAAATGACAGAGGGCTGCATAAACATAAGAAATTCTAAATCCTAAAACTGTGAGGAAAAAAAGCTTTTAAAAAATTTAAACTTTGTCCTAGTGTACATATGACAGCTGCCTGGAATCACAGCTTCTAGCAAAGCTTAAAGAGTATGAAAATACATATGGAAAAGAAAACAAAATTCTGTTAGTTCCACAGGGTATTTATTAGCAAATTATCTTTTAAGTATTGTGGTGAATAGCAAACAGGATAGAAAAAAAGACTCAAAAAAAAACCCCCAAGAAAGCGATGTGATTTCCTGGGCTGTGTATGATTTGGAGATACAGCACCAAGGACTGGCTAATAACTTTTGAATTACGAATTTGTATTATAATTTAACAATTTCTGGACTTCATATTTGACTGCAGGACCCTTGAATAGATGGGTTAACACAGAGATTAACATAAAGATGAGCTCACTACCAGCTTTTTGCTGGGACAATTCTCTGTTGGATGGAAAGCTTGCGGGTCCCAGCATGTGTTCTCTCTGATGCAAAGATAAGCTGTTTTTTTCACTCAGGAGTTTAAAAAATCATTTCAAATCCTTCTTCAAATGTGATTTCTTTATTCCCTTCCCCCCCTGCTTTTTATGTGAAAGATGTTGAAGCCAATTACATACAAATCTACATACATATGTGTATATACATGTGTATGTTCATATGCTTTTAAGCTGTTTTGGATAATAGATTATAGCATAAAAAAGTGATTCTCTATTACTGTCATTCTTAGCACTGGGAATACGATGTGTATTTAATTTTATTTAATTTCAAATGGGCAGGATGGTTAAGTGTTAAAGCAGCAGTGTCATGCACTATCTTCTGTATTCCCAGTGACATTGTATGAAGATAAGTCAGCAGTCTAATGTAGCTTATCCTGCAGCCCTTTGTTTTTATGATCTCACTTTCCATGGATCTTTCATATAATCAACAGTGCTACAAACACGAGTCCATAACTGACAGCAATTCCAAAGGATATTTCCATATTTGATACTTCTCATTTTCCAGCCTCTGAATTCAAGTCTCAGGGTGAAGTCGATGCAAACTGCCTTTAGTGAAGCTCAGATAATGCAAACCAGCTAAGAAGCACATTCCTTCACCTCCCTAAACCTGGCCTGATCACTTCTTTCCCTTCTCCCACGCATTCAGCCCAGTATCTCTGACAGCAGTGCAGAGCTGCCAACACACAGAGCAAACCACGACCCACAGCAGACATAAACCACATTAGCAGGTAGCACTGCCCCGCTCACCTGTCATGGGAGAACTTCAGCTGCTGGGTTTGTTGTTCGTGAGCGTTAATCAGCAGTTTCTTCAGCAGTTCACACTGTTGGTTCAGGTGCAGGTCACGGATTTCCTGCTCTTCGGCGCTGTGCGTGTTGATCATCTCGGACCACTCTTTAGTGTGCTGAGCCACAATCTCCTTGACCTGTGGGGAATTCACAGCAGCTTTGTTAGAGGTGCTCAGACAGGCTGGGGGATCAACTCTTCCTGCTGCTGAAGGTGACGTAAAGACCATCAGAAATCAGGTTGTAAAGAATGCAGCTAAATTGTAAAAAAATGCAGTTACACTAATGAAGTTGCCTCACAGGGTAACAAAGCCACCAAGGACACTATACTATAAAAACAGATGTAAACTAATTATTAAAACTTCTGAACTTAACAACAGAAAAATGTAGTGAGCAGGATTTCTCTGAGGGCTTAAAGACAGTCTTTCATTTTGTGGAGACAGTTTTACACACACAGTCAGTTTACAGAGAAATCCTGTGTTTAATACAACCTGAAACTGAAGATGGGCTACATATCTTTGGTTTATATTCATTAAGTCAGCAGGGAATCTGACAAGGTTTCTTCTCTTCCTTATCTCCCAAGACTCACAAGAATAATGAGATTAAAGTTTTGGAATGTTCCCAAGAGACAATATTAAGAAGTCTAAATCACCAGAGTTGTTATTATAATAACATATCACACTCAATAAATTCGAAAAAAAGCTAATAGAAAAATAGGTTTTATTATCCTTTAATAATTATCTTTGGGTATTCTGACATGCTATCCTACTTTTCCATAGATGGTGTATAAAATGTGCTTCCCAATAAACCTGTTTTCAGGTAATCATTTGGACTGCTACTACAGTAATTAATAACATCTGGGTCATCTTCTACCAAAGTAAACTTGATCTTTTATATGAAAAATCACCACAATGGGACTCAGAAAGTAAGAAACTGATGCCAGTATTTCAGCTCCTCTGAAGGCCCTCTCATGCTGCCTAATAAAGTTGGACACCTAATAAAAAAAGGCAAATAATTTTGGAACAGATCAGGGCCACCACTACCTAAACACCAGATTTGCATTTAACTACAGCTAAACAGTGGTCCCACATCAAAACAGGTGAGGTTGGAGGCAGAAGCAGCTGATAGAGAACAACCTGGAGTTTTCTGCAGCTGTCAGAAAACAACAAAAGCATTCTGAGGTAGAAGCTGGTGCGACTAACACAGGTCTAAATCATCAGGGTGTTTAAGAGTGAGTGTACCTCCAGCAAAATGAGCTATGTTTATTTTTGTGCTCGTGGGTGAATGTACTACTAAGCCAGAGCCTGTCAACTATGAAATGATGTGAAGGATGAGGAGCAGTCAGAGGGAGTAGTGTTTTTACTAAGATGTTCATGAGGCAGTGCTTCCTTCAGAGCTAGAAAAACAGGAGGATTTCATTTAAAAATGAGTCAAAATAAATGCTTGGGTTTTGGTAGGGAAGCAAGTATTTAGTGACTCAGCTGCAAAGACTGTTTACAAAGCCCAAGTAAACGCAGGGAAACAAAGACCCAAGAGTTCGTTGCAAATAGATAACGTGATAATTGTTTTAAAATGATTAATGTTATTAACTAGTGAGGAACGTGAAGGCAGGAATTCTGTATCTCAGGTACACTGATACCAAAGAATCATATCTCAAGCTGGAAGGGAATCATAAGGATCATGGATTCCAACTCCCAAAGAGGAACCCTGCAAGGAGACTACAGCAAGTACTACAGTACCTTCAGAATTTAACCTGAGAAGGAAGTAATCACAAAAACCCTGTCTCTGTTCATGGACAGATGTGCTGCTAATTCCAGAACCAGCATGCAGTCTAAGAAACAAAACTTGTTTACGAGTTTTTCTCCAGGGATGTGAGAGGAAGAGAAGCTTTCCTTTAAATTAGGTATCCACCAAACCAGGAGTCTCATTTCAGGTACAGCAAGATATAACCTGATGAGAAGGATGTAAGGGATGTGCCAAACACCAGTTATAAGACTTCAAATATGACTCAGGATTCAGAAGAACTTAGAACTCATGGCCATTAAAACATCTGAAATCCAATTTTGCTGCAGATCTGTGTTACACTTCAAAGTTCAGATGTAGTAAATGCAGAGTACATCTCTGCTTTTCTCCAATTTATTAGCATCATAGTTAAAATTACTATTTCATTTTCACTGGGCTGTGCTCTTATCCTACTTTCCACTATTAAAGCAGAGTTGCTTGTCCTAAAGGACAGGAAAAATAACCATTAGCTAACTTCTCTCTTTCCTGTTCTACAGACTCTGTTTGCCAGCCTGTCCTTTCATCTGTTCCTTCACTGGGCCTAAGAGACTAATTAAAATCTTGATAAGGAACTTTATTTTGCACAGCTTATACGCAAGATGTTTGTTCAGTCACTAAGTTCAAGCAGGAATGATCTTTGAAGAAATCTTTCCTTTTTTTTTTTTTATCCTTTTCATCCTCTGCCTGCTTGATACAGGGATCCACTTTTCTAATGCAGGGGACTAATTTGCATTTGCTACGTTAATTGTGTGTGAAGTACACGTTGGGACACTCAGATCTAATTTAAATATTTCATGTCAAGCTTGGGCTGGACGTTCCCTCGTGACAGGAGGAGTTTTGTTACATGAAGAGGTCTCTGGTGCTAAAGGTGGAAATGCATATTGTGGCACAGAGCTGCACCGGAGGACATGAGCTGTAATTAAAGCTGAACCATCTTCCAATCTGATATCAAAATTAGTGGGCCAAATGCTGTGAAATGCTGAACAACTGTTAATTAATCAAACTCCCACTATATCAGTGTAACGCATTCAGCATCTCAGAATTTAATCTAATTTAATTGCACCTACATTCATCTAAGATAAAAGTTAATTTCCCTGTGGCCTTGAGCACTGTTTTCCAACCTGTGGCTTGCAAACCTTTGAATGATCTCCAGGAATAATTCAAGGGCCAACACACAGAAACTGAAACAAAAGAAGTCAGTTAATAATCCAGACGATTTTGATGGAGCCACAGTGAGCAAGACACTGGAAATCACTGGAGAGAACCAGAGAGGTAGATGACTTACAGAAGAGTTCTTTGGGAATTATCCAGTACACAGAAGCTTGGCATTTCAAGTCTTATATTTGAGTCTTACATTTAAGTCTCCTTTCAAAATGTCATCCTAAAACCTGTCATGGGAGTGAACAAAAAATCAATCTTTTCTTTTTTTTTTCCAGATATGGATTAAATTGAAGGGAACCAGTCTGAAAGCAGGATTTTAAAAGGAACACAGCCCAGAAACTGCATATGTTTGTGGAAAGGGAGAACCTGAGTCACATTTATTGGATTTGGAAGATTAATGAACATTTGGATGCCTCTTGTGTACAAATGAGACCTCTTGACTCCAGACTGCAAATGACACAGGTGAGAAGCAGAGAATTTTCTATGTAATATAACTTCAAATGAATTTTGGAGCTTATGTCTGGATGATTAGGAGCTAGTGCTCCTCAGAGAGTTTATTTCACTAAGAGATTAATGAATTTTGTATTTTCTAGGTTGCCAATAAGTTTGGTTTTATTTAAGGCACCGGTTCTAGACTTTTCATAGGGGAAGAAGATGGGGAGACAAGAGAGCACATTAGCTTTTATTCCTGGGGGTTTGCTACGTGTTCAGCTGAGAGGGCAGCAACAAGAAAACAAACCTGTTTAGAAAACCAAGATCTTCTCCATATGAAATAATAAAACTAAAGAATAAGAGTCAAAAGAAGACAAGATGAAAATGAACTGATTCTAGTCTCAAGGATGTGGATGTGTATTTTCTATACTTGTCTGATTCTTTTCACAGGTTTCAGCTTTTACTGGGTCGGTCTCCAGTACACTCTTCTCCCTCCAGATGTTTTGCACATGGATGAGCCTTCTGGTGTCCCTGCCACCCTCTAGTCTGGATATCTTTCAGAAACTTGAAAGCAAGTCAGCAAGTCACGGATAAAACTGCCAAAGGGAATAGGAAGTCAGAGAACACAAGAAGTACAGAAGTAGAGAGGAAGCAGCTCTAAGAGACTCGGTGTGAACCACGAGCTTTTCCAAAGCTGAGTCCCAGAGCACCTTTATTCTCCAGCATGCTGAAGAAAACAAAGCAACTACACAATTGGGGGGGGGGGGGAAATTACTAGAAATAAGAAGGCACTGGGTCCAAGAGCAACTTGGATTCCTCCTCCCCTAAGAGACAGACCAGCAAATGTTGTCCATGGCGACAATGACGGAAAATGAAAAAGACGCTTCTTTATGGATATATTTTGGGGAAGTATTTAGCATCCAAATTTCATGTAACACTTATTCTCTTTGTTTAGCTAAAACCAACACAAATGACCAGTTTTGCTTCATGAGGAATGAATATGGCACTTTCTTCAATTCAAAACAGCAGGAAATTGATGCTGCTTTTAAAAATTCTTTGAAGAAACACTTTTAGACACTCAATTACTCCCATTCTTTTCAACATGCTATTATTGCTGAAAATCATGCATATGCTTCCAAGAAAATTAACTACCAGTTGGGTCTCAAAAATCTCCCTTTCAGATGCGGCATGTGTTAAAATTGGCTGTTTGCTTACCTTAGATTTGTGATCTGATGTTAGTGTCTGAATTTTAATTTCTGTTTCTTTCTTCAACTCAACACAATTACTTCCCCTAAAAAAAAGGAAAATTGCAAATGTGTGCCACAAGTTAAACATCTCCCCATTCAGTCAGCTCTTACTAATTAAAATGTTAATCAAAGTTGAAGTGCCGCAGTGTATTGGAATGAAATTATTTCTTCTGGCAATTTATTCGCAACTTACAAAATATTGTTGGATTAATGATTATTCAATTCAAACACCACATGATTAATTCTGGATTGGCCCTGCAATTATTCTGTTGCTGAGTATGTGTCAGGCACCTCCATTTATGATACTTGGTTCCTTTTCCAGGCTTAAAATACCTTGCCAAGAAAAAGCAGTTTCTGCCTGCAAACTTACAGGCATATTCACTGCCTTGCCACGGGTTTATTCTCTGTTTTAAAAGTCATTTGGCTACTTCTGTTTTGTCTGAGGAAGAGAAGAAAGAAGCCATTTGATTAATTACCTCACAGGGCGATCTGGGAATCCTAAATTTGAACACCTACTGGAAATGTAGGTGTCTCCCTGCGAGAAAGCAGAAGTGAATGGGTTGCAAAGAAAGTGCTGGACCACACCAAGCCATAGGGATGAATCCAAGCCACTGGATACCTCGTGTGACTTGGAAAGCAGTGAATCCCTCACTCCTGCAACAAGACTTCGTGCTTGGGTCAAGCGTTAAGGGGGTTGAATACCAGTTTCAAAGCTTGTTTAATGCAGGAGGAGTGTGGGATTCCAAGGAACAGGCTGGCAAAAAGCCTGGAGAAGGCCATCCTGAAGCTCCCCTGACGTGCCTGTGGGTTAGGAGATGGATGACTTCTACCTCTCACCCAACAGAACTGCCTTCACTAAGTCCAATTACTCGGGCTGTGCTCTGGGTGGCATGAGAAACTATTCCACTGCAGCTCCTACAGGAATTTCAATTCCTGCCTCACCAAAGTCAGTACGTTCTGGATTTGAAGGCTCACGAGCTCCATCATTAACAATCTTTTTCCAGTGAAGGGTTTTTGTAACAGAATACAAATTCACACAGTGTAAGCCTCTGTTATTTTGTTTGGAATAACAGAATATATTGAGAGGGGTCTATTTTAACATCACTGTAATATTTCTGTGTCAGATTATCCACTGATGTAAAGTGCTACAGCTCTACTGAGGGGATGGAGCCACGTTCATTTATCACCTGCAGCTGGCCCTAATAAGAACAGTCACCGCCTGACTGCAGAAACATTAATACATGCTTGCTCTAGAAAAGGAGATTTACAAAACGCTTAACAACTTTAAATCCTATTTTATTATTAAAGTACTGCTAAATTTAGGGAAAATAGCTGAAAATTTTATCATCAAACAGTACCAGGACAGCCCTTAATGAAAATAGCAGTGTGGTGTGTCTCATGTTCCCAAGGGCCACCAGAAGGATTCGTCATTCATCTTCTAGCCACAGCAAGGGAAATTTTGTAGATATTTCTAACGCTCTTTTGACACTTTAGAAGTAATCTAAAGCCATAAGCAGAGGTTCTGACCACTGTTACCTCTGCCTGAAAAAAAACCTCAACAGCTGGAGGGAATTTGATTATCCATGTGGGTAGCTGTGATCAGTCTGGCTGTAAGGAATACATGATTTGTGATACACCGTGCAAGAGATTGGTTCTTTGGTGAATCAAACATATTTTATCCCAAATCAGTCTAATTAATTCAATCATTGGACTCTCAGAATCCCAGACATCAAAACCACCAGCTGATCCCTTCTTCTGATATCTCAAGGCAACTTCCAGCCAGTTTGGACACTGGACATGAGGGAATTGCCTTCAGCTGCAGTGAAGAGTCCACAGTTAAATCATCAAGTCCCAGCAGGGAACAAAAACCCAGGGACAGCACAGCCCAGGGTCACATATCCCTGCTCACACACACGCAGACAGATTAATTTCTGGACAGTCTGGGTAGATCAGGAGGATCTTTATGTGCTCTCACTCCATTTCAGAGTGGGAACACAAACATACCTATCCCCAAAAGCCTCTCTGATATTTTTGAGCATTTGAAGTGTATGACAGAAATAGCACAGGGAGCAAAATCCTGTCCATCTGTCGGAGAATTAGCATGTGGTTAAAAAAAATTCTACTCTGCTGAACAATATGCAGTTGACATTTGTCACACCATGTGGCAGGAACAGACCACAAGAAACTGCACAACGAGATCAGAAGAGAAAGTCCTCTACAAACCTATCAAAGGCCTTTTTGTCAGGAAATCACTGTCACTTTCAGAATTAAAGCCTCGAAAACACATTTTACATGCTCTTTTACAACCTTTATGGCTTTCAAAGGTTCCAAAAGGACAGCCAAGGAAATGGTGCATGTCCTGTACTCACTGAACCCAGGGCTCTGGATTCATCAGGTCATTTAAGTTCAATCAAATTTTTAAGTCCCAACCTTAAAAGTGTTCACTTTTAAGTGTGTCCTTTAGTACACTGCCCAGCTGGGGTGTGCAAAAGCACCTTGCTGAACAGGCTGCCAGGGCTGCATTCACAAAGATCTTGAAGGAAGCCAAAATATTTGGATACGGAATTAAAAAGTGTTTTCACAGAAGGTCTGTGCTGATCCTGGTTTTGATCTGGCTGTTAATTAGATACCAACAGTTATTCCTGTAAAACTGAAAGAGCCATCAGATGACAGAGAGCTCTGGAGTCCATGGAAAGTATGGTAAGGAACATAGTGAATCTTTTCACTTTGTAGTGAATCTGCTTCTGGAGTGGTCATTTCCAACTTTTTTTGTCTTTTTTTTAACTCACTGACAATTTAAAGCTACCATAAAGGCTTTGGTGTCCATGGAGGAAGTGTTATAAAATTAAGAAAAGATGCTGCAAGCAGCCAGTGAAGTGATCTCAAACTGGAAATCAAATTATCAGCTACTTTGGTTAAAGCTCTGGAAAGCATTGTTATCCAGAGCTTCCTATTTACTATTTATTGCACAGAGACAGCCATTAGCACCCTTAACTTTCTGACACCCAAACTTCGCTGTTTTGCCAAGACATTCAGAGGCACTGGCTTCTTCTCAGTCCAACAGGAACACTGAGATTCTTTAATACCAGGGCACAGGGAAGCCTTTCCACCCCCATGAATAATTATGGTGCAGTGTCTGTGGATTGGTTCACTGCCTCTGTGGTAAATAACCTGACTGTAATTATAAATCCAAGTAATCAATAACCTATTGCTGTGTCACTTTGAAGGAAGTTGAATTAAAGTCACATTAAATTAATCCATCCTGCAGCTGTCCCCTTTCTGTTTGGAGAAGTAGTAATTTTCTACAAGAAAATACTTGAATGAGAAATATTTGGGCGCTTACAGCTCTCCTATGTTGGACAAAAAAGTACAGCATGACCTTTTTAAAGAGTTTGTGAGCTTTCAATAATTTAGTGAGGAGAATTCTCCTTACCTTGTTTACTTCTGACAGTCCTATTTCTGTTCAATTGCAAGTTCACAACACGCACACTCAAAAAACCATCTCCATTCCAAATAATTTATATAAAAAGCACTGGTGGAAGAATCCAGTGCCAAACTCTTCAGTGTTCAGTGAGTGAGTTCGTTGCCAGATGACAACAATACGAAATTAAGACTAACTGTTAGGATAGCTGGATATAGAACTGAAGTAATCCCTGCTGTCTCCAGGACATGTCTCCAGTCAGGGGGCAAAAGGTGGAGAGGAGAAACTTGCTGCCAGGTCACACCACAGCTGCAAGGCAGCAGCAGCTCCTGCTGCTGAATTCCAAATTAGAATTAAGACATTTAAGTCCCCCAGTATCCCCCAGAAACCTTTCTGGGACAAGGGGGAGATTCACACAGATAATATCCCAGGCCATCAGCTACTGCAAATCAAAACATCTTCACTCAAGTCAAAGGAGTGGCACTGATTTATCCTGGCTACTTTCTGGTCATGAGGGCTCCTGAGGACCTTCAGCTCTCACTGAACACAACAGTGACCTTCCCTGGGGAGCACAGTGAGACCAGATCAAACCACAGAGACAAAACCTCGAGGCAGCTCCTTCACTTCTGCTGTTAAAACTCTGATAGCAGAAGACCAGAGAAAGGCAAAGAGAGCACAGCATTTATGGCCTGTTGCTAAAGCCTTCAAGCAGCTCATTCTCAGTTTGATGGAGGATGTTGCTTCAAGCTGCAATCCATTCACTTCAGTGACCTCTTTACGAATCATTTACTCCAGACCACAAAAGCATTACATCTATTTTAATTCTAAAAGATAATAATTAAAAAATTTAAAATAATATCTTACCCCTTCTTCTTGATTGCCTTCTCTAACATCTTCTCGTATGAGACCTTTTCTTTATCATACTGGGCCACTATTTTGTCAATTTGGGTGCAGTGCAACTTCTGCATAGCGCTGTGCTCCTGGAAAACAGCAGGGCCAACAGATAACTTCGACAATGGAATTTAACCTGGTTTAGCCATCTGATATTAAACATCCCAGATATTTCACAGTAAGCACTAACACATTTCTTCTTTGGTTGAAAAATCACGACCTGCAGTGAATCTTAAAAATATGGTACACCTTGAAACAAAATAATGATGGGAAAACCTAGTATTTTTGAATAAACATCCATTTAAATGCAGTGTAAAAAATCTGATTTACAAGCTCAGATCGCATCATTCAAAGTTTCTGAATGCAAAGGAGAACAAATTTCAACCCATTCCCCCCTTCCTCTGCACATCTCATACTGAATACAGTGACAGCCCCTTGGCCACTGCATTTCAAATAGCTAGTTAGTTATGGAAGGGGAGGAGAAAAACTTTTCCTATGATAAAAAGATGACTCACTGAAGCATATTAAACACTGGAGTGCGTATACAGACAGTTCCTTTCCACTACAAGACTGTACCAGAAACAAAACACTTCACTTAGTGCTTACATTTACACTTCATTATTGAACTTGACTTCATACTCTCCTTTATCAAACCAGCTGCTCATAATGATGCAAATATTTAACTAGCACAGAAAGCACTAAATATTGAATTTGCACTACAATAGGAATAACTGTTCATTAATTTATGTTATTTTATTAATATCCAATTGCTCCACATTTTATCTGTGACAAAAAGAACTTGTCTTGCTGTTCTACTGCTCTTTGTTATTATTTTCTATACACATTTGCCTTATCACTGCTTCTTCCTCTAAAAACACTAATTAAACACTACTTTTACACTCACTTTTACCAAAACATTAAAGCAAATGTTGCAATGCTCTTTAATATGTCCATCTCCTTGCCTTTATAGCTTTGTATCTGCTTGTGATGCCACCCCAGATCATTTACCTAAACAGTGCTCAAGATCTAACTTGATTAAAAAAAAAAAAAAAAAAAAAGAGATAAACCAATGGACATCATTCAGACATATCAGCTGTTCTGCAGCTGCAAAGTAATATTCATACTGGGAGGTTAAAGTTACTTCAGGGAATGTAGGTAGGAAATACTTCAAATGCAGCTGAGGTTTGTTTGTGAATGTATTATTTAAAGAAAAGCTTATTTTTGCAATATGCAGGAGGGGCTGGACGTATTATTTTAAAATTACCAAAAGCACAGGTTACCAGAGCTAAAATTCAAAAGAAGCTATTCCTAACATGGAGGAATTTTTTAATGGTGACAATTGCAATTATTTGCCACTGTTTTTCAAAAGCCAAACACAAGGAATACTATAGGCTGACAGCTTCAAAATGGGCTGAGGTTTGGATCAAGAGCAATCACCTGCTCTTCAGCAATCCCAACAGCAGCACATGCAGACTTAATTTTTAGAGACTAAATCAGCCTGGAGAATATTCACTCTGCCCCCTCCAGCTCGCCCTTCCTTCACAGCCAGGGCACAGACTAAGCAGAGGGTTTTGGTCACTAAGAACAGTGACCTTTCTGCCAGTCTAATGATTCCTACCCTACTTAGACCAGAAGTCTTATTTTTCCTACACAAAAGTGAAAAAACAAACAGTGGAGACTGTATCTCCACCAGCCCAAACATCTTTCTTTAAAAAAAAAAAAAAAGGATTAATAGCAAAACCACCATAAAGAGAAGCCATAGTGTGCAATGTGTCTCTGTGTGTGTACACTGGGTATTACAGCTCTAAGGAGCTATGCCATGATGAAAAACCAATTAGTGATAATTTGCAGAGAGATTTTAGGGGGATGTTATCGTAGCTGCTGGAGTCAAAATGGTTGAAATGCTGAACAAAGGTAAATAAATGACAGATAACATCAAAGACATGCACTGACAGAGAGTGCTGTGCTCTGAAAAGCCTGGCACCAGTTAATTTTTGTATTAATCTGGAAATGTGGTATCTGTATCAGTTCTATCCCCTGAGAAAACGAATTATGTGTTTTCATACAGAGCAACCAACCTCCAACCAGCCCAGGATTTCAGAGGAGCTGCTACTGCTTCTCTACATCAAGCAGCAAACCTGTTTGCTTATTCCTCCAGATCTCTGGAGTGTTTCTGGTTAAATGAGAGCCTGCCTATTTCTGGAACTTTAAAGTTCAGTCTTAGTGCTCAGGGCTCCTCAGGTTGATCATGGATAACTAACTGCACAGCCCTCCTGCTCCACCGCAGCTGATGAAATGCATTAAGAACAGCAGTGAGTACACACCAAGCACAGCCCTAAGATCATCTCTGAGTTAACGTGGTTGCACTTTCCTGCTCAGACTCCCTAAATTCCAGAGGCTGCCCTTTTAGCAGGGCATGCTCTAGGCAGGCACTTTCCTGTTAGGACAGACTTGCACCGTGTACTTAAGACCAGCAGGACCACAGGCTGGCTCAGACATCAAATAGCTGTGCTTGAGCTAATGCTGAAAGCCCTTCTGAGTGCACAGCATTTTCAGACTGTGGCTGGCAATTTTTTCCTCAGATTGGAGGAAGCAAGTGCAAGCCTGAACAGATGGATGTATTTTTTTTTTTTAATATTAGCAAGCGCAATCTTGGCTAAAATATCCTTCCACTCCTGTGGGTCACACGTACCAGGGACACACACCACCGAGCAGTCTGTTTCCTTCACAACCACAACACCATTTCTACAGCAAACTGATGGATGTCAGACAAGGAAATGACAAATTAGTGTTTAAAAATAAGAAGACCCCTCAAAATTAACCCTGTGAAGGGCCTATCCTCGATGCAGCACCATCTCCTATCATTACTGACTTTCCTTCCAAGCTGCCTGTCAATATGCCCTGCAAGAGGGAGCTGATAAAATCACTACCTGAGAAAGGTGAGCCTTGGGTGCCTATGTGGGTCAAACCAATGTGCACCGAACCTCAGGGAGACGTACAAAGGGTTGCTGAAGGGCAAAAGTGCTCACTGGAGCATGGTTCAGTACATTTAAGACACATATGCCTCTCTTGGTGGTCCGACTACTGTTCCTTAGTCCTTCCCTACAATTTAATTAGGAGCTGCCTGAGCTAGTGAGCACTGCAACTGTTTTTAATTAGAGTACGTGGCTCAGAGTTAACGACCATACCTTTGCATGTTTCTTCTTTAAAGCATTCAGCTCTTTCTGCTGTTTCTTTAAATGCTTTATGTAAGCCTAGAAAGAGAGAAATTGGATCAATTTTCCTCCAGTCATATTGACTTTAACCAGATAAAATCGTGGCTACTCGGGACAAGAACGAGGAACACATCTTGAAAAGCTTGTGCCCATCCTTACCTTCATCTGTTTTAAATCTTCTATCTTCACTTGAGGAATGAGGTCTATACCTAGGAAGGTATTGATACAGTTTATCTTAAACTTCATATGCACTAGTACATCTCACACTTATAAAATTTGAGTTTTACCACAGAAATCTACATTTAAGTTAGCTATTAATGTTTTTCACCGCATAAAAAAAAAACAGTCGCAGGTTAATGAGAAAATTATTCATCAAGGTACAGCTAAGCTACAGTTAATTTCCTTTTCCAATGCACTGCTCAATCAACTGCCTGGTGAAAAAAGAAACCAATCAATGAGTGTATTTTAATCTCTTGCAGTTCTGAAGTGTCAAAACACAGCAATCTAAGAATTGACAAAAGCCCCTTTTCAGCAAACGTAAGCAAAGCATTTATGAACATTAAAACTGAACCAAGCAAACTTGAGAATTTTGGTCCAAATCTGGAGATTGCTCTGGCACCACCATCTTCCAGAGGGGAGGTTTCCTGGGTAAGGTTCTATGTGACTACATAAAGGGTAACTCAGGGCATATTTCTCAATTTAAAACAAAGGAGTGAAAATTTATCTGTGACCTGTATGAGAATGAAGGTAAAATGTGCATTTTGGTTAACACCAGGCTGCAAGAAAAGGAGCAACAGTGCTCTCCAAGGCTAAAGGAGAGTTAAAAATGGAGGAGAAACACAAAAGAAGCGGAAATTCTAATGAAAATTCAATACAACAGGCAAATCAATCACACAAGACTAACTGTACTGTTTAGATGAATGAAAACAGGTTTGGATCCCTTTAACTGCAATGCAAACAAAACCTAATCTCATCTCATGCTTATGCTTTAATGAATGTTTTGTGACATACTATGATTTCTTTAAAACTACTAAGCACACCCTACATGTAATTATTAATAAAAATGTCAATACAATGCCATGACAGTTGTAATTTTCAGTTTTTTTTCCTGAGGTTTCATACAAAAATATTTGCCTGTACATAAAGACACTGCAAACATAATTAGTTAACTTGCTCTTAATAATGTCTGTGGACTATAAGATTTCCCCTGCCTTGAAAAGGACTTTCTGGCTTTTAAGGTGAATTTAACTGGAAAATATTTAGATGCTGGGGGAAAAAATAAAAAAAAAGCAGGGGGGAGGGAAGCAATCTCCTTAGGGAAAATGTTTTTTTTTCTTTTCTTAGAAACATAAGATTCTGCTCAAGTATATGGTATCAACGTTAGTCTGGTAAATGAGACTGGAAAAGATTCAGGCACAGATAGAGGCTGAAAACCACAAATCACTTCACTCTTACTGAAAGTCAGAGGAAAAAAAAAAACCTCCAACATTCTTGTGAATTTGAAAGCCTTCCCCAGACACCCTGCCCTGCTGGATCAGTTAATTTTTGGTCATTAATTCAACAAGGTGAGTTGTGTATCATAACAGTGGTAGAATTATTCAGATCTTAAGAGATCACAGAGACAGACAATCCAAAATAAGGATCATTACACAGGATATATAACTGCACAGCTCTACCATGCAAGGATATGGATAAAAACTGCAGACAGGAGCATGTTAAGCACTGAAATCCCAGTTTAAGACCAGGGCTCCATCAGGCTGCTGTGTTCTAAACAAACTTCCTCCAGATTTTACTTTAAAACACAGATTTATTTACTTTGTTCTCCAGGTCTGACTCCATGGCAACCAGGAATCAGTTGTCAACCCCAGAAAAATTCCATGCTTAATTAATGCACAATAAAACTAACACTTGTGCATCTTGGTGCTGATACACGAAATATGGGAACACCTCCCAGGATAAAATAATCTGGGGTTTGCACCAGGGAAGAACTCTGAAATTTCAGAGTTCAGGTGCCAGAGAAAACCTGGTTTATTGCCAAAAGTGACTCCAGAGAAATGGCATCTTGTTTCTCAGGAGATCCCCACGTGTGCGTACTCAGCCACATCTGCTTCAGTTTAAGAGCAAGAGCTGTCAGTGCCCCTTTTCACTCCCAGCAAACACCTTTGGGCCAAGGTGGAAGAGAGCAAATGAACCAGATTCGAATTCTTGTGGCCCATTAACAGAAATATTTATTGTGTTCCATTCAGTTGTACAAATTTGTTTTCTCACTTAATCTTCATTATCTCTGATGATATGGGAGAAACAAATAATCCCACCTGACTCTATAAAATGACTTTGTAGAGTGAATAGCAAGGAAAAAAATACTTATTCACTTATAAATGAGCACATTTAATGTGGATATTTTTTTTTTTTATAATAAACATGCCATTTCCATAATCACTCCTCAGAGTTAAACCACATGGTGAAAACATTTCTAATTGTTGGGAAATCTCTGCAGAATCCAATGAATTCTAAATACCTTTAATTACTTAAATCTGCAACTCTGCCAAGGGATTTGTGAAGGGAGAAGAAAAAAAACGGAAGAGTTTTTGTGGACTAGGTCAGATAATAGTCACTCCTATTGGCACTCCTCCAGTAGATCTTTAGTAAACTACTCCCAGAGTCATGCACGTTAATGCTGTAAGTATACGGCCAAACAAAGAGGTCACTTAGTAAAATAAACCTGTATTGGCTTCATACAGTTATTCTCATAATATACAAAATTTATTTGCAATTAGACAAAGACAACTCTTACTGGCAAGTGAATTTACCTTCTAAAATGACAAGAATTAACAGACCTACAAAACTAAAACTGAGTAAGGAGTGCTTCTCTGTGTCTCTCTGAATCAGTTCAGAACAGAGGGAGTGGTTCCTGAGTACCTTTCTTAGCGTCAGTCCCGGAGCCTGCGGTGGTGCTTGGGCGAAGTTCAGAGCTGCTCTGAGGTGTTACGTTGGCTTTGGGATTGTTGGCTTTTCCTTTCCTGTCGTTCTTTGAAGTGTCATTTGGTACATCAGCTATGTCACTCTGAAAGAAACGTTGACATCGTAGTGAATTAATTGTTCTTTTACCTGTATTGTAAAGGTTGGGTGCTGGGAAATTTCTGAACTTGCTTACTTTAAGCATAATAAAATCACAGTGTAATTTCAAACAATAAAATTTCTAACTACACTAAAGTGTTTGTAACCTACTTAAAATAGCTACCTACTGAAATACAGCTCTGTTCTTAGTCCTTAAAATTTCTGCTTCTAAGGGATGTGTTAGTGTGATCCATGAAAATCAGCCAGTGAGTGGTATTTCAGTACAGGACAACTAACACCAGTTAATGTATTTCAGAGCTGGACAAAGTGCCTTGTATTTGAAAATGAGAAATAATGTAACATGCCTCGACTGGGGAAGGACCAGCTTACTTTAAAAAAGGAACACAGCACAAATAGAAATGGGCTTTTTGTCACTGAGGGACTTACAGTTTCGATACCCATAGCTCTCATTTGGTCTGCTCTTTTTTCTGTGATAGACAAAAATTTCTTTGGATCTGATAAAGCATCCACAATATCTGGAAGGAAAAAAGAAACAAAAACAACTTTTTATGATCTTCAGAGGCATTTGGAAGCTAATCTTTTACAAATGCCTTATTCTAGCCCTGTTTTCCAGATGCAGCGATCAGTGTGCAAGCACAGGTTTCCAGGATGACAAAGGCACGTGAATCTTTACCTGCATATTGAATAATCCCTTTCCATGCTTAACTTCAACAGTCAAAACAACAACAAAACAAGTGAAAATATTAAATCCATTAAAAGCTTTGGGAAGAAACTTGCTGTCCTTCTTGAGCAAAGTAGGGGCTGGACTATATCACCTCCCTTCCAGCTTAAGTTGTTCTGTGAAATGTTCCTCTGAAGTCACTGGAAGCATTTCTCAAGCGAAAAAACAGAGACAGGTCTCCCATTCCAACAAAAGTTGTATAAAATACTTAGCACTACCCTTGACTGCTCTGTTTCTACACACAAATAGGTCCTCTCCAGTAACTGCTGCGACCTAATGATGTCTTCTCAAATTTATTTCACATAAACAAAACCTACATAGAGTTTATTTTTAGCCACAACAAAGGCCTTGTAGCTCAGCACCGACTGTTTCTCCTTTCCCTAACTTACTACTCGTGTCTTTTTGCCCTTGCCATGCACTCCTCAAGGAAAATCCAGGACTACCCTGCCAGCACGATGCGTCATCTGAAAATGGAACCCGATTGTCACGAGCTTCTAGGTAAAAATGACTAACGTGTTTGGGAGAGGGACCTTTGTCAATTGTATTACGAACTGTGCAAGCACATCACCAAAGGTTTAGCACTTCTGCACGGGGGATGTGACTCATCACTGCCTCTCACATTGTCATCTGTCCTCTGCTTACGCTTTCCCTTCTCCCCAGTGAGGTAAGGTGGGGGTGGGGAACGGCGTTTTGTTGTGTAGAAGAAGGGCAATTAAATGTAAAGCTACAAAAATCACTGCAGGAGCACATTACAGAGGACTTTAACCACTAACCTAAGCTGCCTTACTTACGTACAGGTTTCTATTACAGAAGCTTCTCTTTGGAGAATTCTACTTCATTTACATCAATCTGTGCCACCGCTGTGTTTTACTGGGAACGGAGCAGCTGATGCAAACAAACCACAAGAAATCACTAAGCTCTATGAAAAAAAAAAAAATCCATCTTCTAAAGCCCACAATGTATCGCCCGTTCTACTTATTATTCGGGGCATGTTTTTAAATCTTACTCATACAGGTTAAAAAAGAACAAAGAAATGAAAAAGAATGTAGGCAGCTCCTGAATCGAGCTCTGCCTTCCCACAGGTTTGCTAAAACAACCATGGAGATCCTAATGATAGCTCATAAAACAATGAGAAGTTCACTGCAGATGATAAGTAATTAAAAACCACATGCCAACAGAATACTAATGATTCCACCTGAGTGTCAAAAGTTATTTCCCAGTTGTTCATCATGCTGCTGTTCTACATCAACGAGAAAATGATGTGAGACACATCAAACATATCTTGGAGGGAGAGGAGAACTCATAACTGAACTCATTTAGTTCCTGTTAAGATGGAGTCTGTTTTTCCCTCTGCTGACAGTAAACCATGACCACCAGTTCTCTCATTCTAGTAGCATTTTACCATAACAAAACTCTTAGTTAGGGGGAGCAAAATGCTTTTTTACCTCTTCCAAATAAACCACCTATAGAAATGCTGATGGTGTAGCAGATCAGCAAATGCTGAACTGCACACGATTTGCAAATGGTAAACTGGTGTTCAATTCTCTTTGAAAACAATGTCTTTCACTTCTAAATTTGTAGAAAAGTTTAAAAAATAAAATTTAAAAAAAAAAATATTTTCCCCCTGTGTGACCAGCACAGTCAGAAGCTTAAGACACATCAAACTCAGTGCTAAGTTTAAATTCTATTCTTAGAAAAAGTCTGGTATCATAAAACATCAATCCCAAATCAGAAGCATGTCCTTAGTTTAGCAAATATTTTAACTGAGTCATTTTCTGTCAAAAGCTTCAGCTCAGAGAAAAAAATTAAAGCTCACACTTAAACGTGTCCCTTAGACTGATGGTTCAATTACCCTCAAGAATCTCAAATTTAAGCAAAGCTTACACTTCTCTTGAGACAAAGCCCCTGAAGTTAAATCCTGTCAATGGAAGGTGTTACATAAAGGCATGGCAGTGCTGCAAGACCTGAGGCAAAACTCCAGCTGACCTGCCAGAAACTGGGATGGCACATGGGAATAACACAAATGCTTCTGTAACTTCTTCCACAAAATATTGTGACTGAGGTGTCAGCCTGTTTATTTTTTAAACTATGGATCAACACCAGCAAACACAGAGTTGGAGATGTACTAATGGTTTATGACCATGGTCCTGCCAACCTGATCATGAAAATGGCTCACGTTAAAAATAACTTTCTTGAAAATCCCAAAAATAATTAAACCACGCTAAAAACATGTAAAGTTGGGAGGGAAAAACGCAGAAGGGTTTTGGATGTGAAATTGTTTCATTTTTAACAATGTGACAATAATCTCAAGAATACAGAAGTGCCTTTGTTTGAAAAAGACATGTCTAGATTCCACAGGAATTTTCTTATGCAGATATTTATGTCAGATAACATGTAATAAAAAAGTAAATTAAAAGAAGAATCTTCCTAAACTGTCGACAAAATCATATTAAGCTAACTAGCATTAGCTTATTTTCCACAAAATTTTGTCATTTAGCAGATACACGTCATTATCATTAACACTTGGTCAGAAAGGGGATTTTTTTAACTCAATATGCAGAGTTTCCAAGGAGTTAAAATACTGAGTGTTTCCAATCCTCCAGCATTGTATGTCTGCTGCCATCTGGCACACTGACACCACAGTACTTCAGTGCTTCCACACCAACACTGCAGAGCTACAGCACATGAGAAACAGGTTTATCTCACCTCCAAAACCATCAGGCACGTATGTTTTAAGCACAATGTTGCAGAAAACCGTTGGGAGAGAGAGTGGCTTGTTGCCCTCGTTCCGAAGGGAAATGTGTCTGTAACCTGCTTGCAGCCCATCCAGAGGCAGGATCCTCTGACCAATCAACTTATTGTTGTCATCATACACTGCTATTCTCAGGACAGCAAGATCAGGGAGAATAACCTGGAAAGCCACAAAATGGAGACATTTAATGACCTGGATCCTCCCCGCCTCCCACGTGTGAACCATTCGCTTTGTATGCCAGACACAGACTATCATCACTGTAAGATCAGGTCATTCCCTGCAAATCCCACACTTCAAAATCAATCTTTCCCAGAAAAGCTTTTTTTCCCCACCCCAAGTATTGTGCAGATTTCAGAATATATAAATCCTGTGGCTCACAATTACACCAGCTAAATATTTTGAAGGATTTCCTACTCCTTCCCTACCTGCTGCTATTCACCAACGCTGATGGGGCAAAAGTAAACTATGTCTCCTGTCTTTCCCCCGACATTTTCATTTTCAGTCTCAGATGGCACAAAATATGCTTTTTGTCTCTGAACCCACCTGAACAATTCATGGATATCCTGCTCTACTGGATTACAACTTAGCACTCCCAGCACAGGTTACCCACCAGCGCTCGTCCTGTCCTCTCCCTCACACAACAGAGGGACAACACAGAACCCAGGTTAGAATGACTGAGGCCTTAACTTCAGTTAAAATAAAAACAAGAAAACATGACAGAAGAACAATCAAACAGTACCTGAGAGCAACTGTGTAGGATTAAACATCAGTTTGAGGAGAGCAGTGTAACCCAGAACAGTGTAACAGTGTAACCCCCAAAGGGTAGGTAAGGTCTCTCCTCTACAGGCCACAGATCAGCACTTCTTTCATTACATGGCAGCCTCTGAGACGGATTTGACAGGGAGCAGAAGTGGGGACTGAGTTTATCACTCCCTCTCCATTGATTTGTTCTGTGGTATCCTGCTGGGCTATTCCCCCCTCATGACATTTTAGCACTGTGCATCCCACGCCTTCATCACCTCCAACTGGAGGAACTGGTCCTGCTGTGTTTATGCCACTCACCTGTCATCAGTTTATGTCGATTACAAGGCTAAGATATGATACAAGGGCCAGAGATGAAAAAAAATAATCTCTTTGCTGACTTTTAGTTCAAGAGAAGGTATGACCACAGCAAAGCAGAGCAGAAAGTCTGGAAAGTGTTGGCATCAGCCTCTGTACTCGTGTGAGGACACACAGGTACCCCACCTTTCAGACAGAAGCTGTGTGTGCCCTGGAATTTATGGCCCTTTTGATGGAAGAAATCAGAAAGCAGCAGATGCTGCCATATGGCCAGCAGGCCATGGGCAGCATGATTGCCTGTCATTGTACCTCAGCATCTTCCCTGGGCCTCCCCGTGCACTGAGAAAAGCACTTGGAGTCACATCCATTCCAGAATATACCTGAGCTCAGGAAAAACTCTTGCATCAACTGCATTTCTATTAAAAACTGGTTATACTCTTAAGAAAGCAGATTAAGTGTGTAATATGCCCAAGTGTGAAGTGTTATCACCACTTGGCAAAGCCTGAATTTTGGAATAAAAGTCTGCACTTTGAAATAGAAGAGCAACGATGCTGGATGACACCAAAACAGGTGTAAGCAAAACAGTTGTTATCAAAGACAGCGCTGCTAACACATGAAATCTGGATGAAATTCTAGTTGACAGGGGAAAAAAAAGTATGTATACAGTATATATAAAGACTGAGAGATAAAAACTGAATATGGACAAATGATCTCTCTCTTTAAAAAAAATGTTGTTTTAATTTTTTTACCGAAAAAAAAGAAAGAAAAAAAAAGAAAGAAAAAGATGCACATGGACTACTGTACTGCATACCTTGGACACAGGCATGGTCCCAGAGGAGGTGGGAAGAGGAACCAAAGGGGAGGAAAAAGTCAAATGGAAACAGAAACAACAACAACAAAATCATGTGACAGCTACAGAGATTATCCATTAGAAACATAAAACAAAGCAAAACTAAAAAAAGAAGCAACCTAAATCACAAATAACCTCTTGAAACTTATTTCAGCTTACATTGTTTACTGTAGTAAACAGGGGGCCCTCCAAACCCTTTCTCATGGGAGCAGCACTCACTCCTGTGCTCAGGAGAGCAAGGAGGCTCATGCAAAACCACAAGCTGTGCTTTCCAAAGCTCCTACCTTTCGAAACACAAACGACTCCTCGTTGTAAACAGGGTTCAGACCATTGTTCATCACCATCCGTGTCCGGAATTCCTTACGTATCGTGTCCGTGGGCAGGCCGTACATGTCCACTTCCACGTACGTACCAATTTTTTTGTCTGATAAGAACTGACCAGATATTACCTGCGACATGATAGCAGAGCAGTAAGGAAGAGCAATACAAGGTAAGAATATTGGAAATTCTGGTGTTTTTTTTTACTGAGAGCAGTCTGGAAAATGCTTTATGCAGAACAGATGTGTTTATTTCCTCCTATGAACATGGTGTATGTAGTGCTAAAATTGTGATCGCTGTTGTGATCAGACCTTAAATATATCCTTAATTTGAAGTGACTGTGCTATGGTGTTACCAGTTGCAAGCCAGTCATCCCAATTACCTGATGTCTCACCGATGTAGTCACTATATTAATGAAAAACACTGAATGAAACAACCAGATCGGGCACTGCTGTTCCACAGCTTTAAACCTGCTGTTGGGAAGCACTTTGTTCTATTTCATGTCTTGACTACAAAGAGGTGAAAGGAAACTATTGCTCTGCTTTCACTTGGGCAAAGGTTTTAAACTAATCACGTGTCAGTCTGACTCCATATTATGTCTGGAAAGTGCAGGATGCTGAAAAAGCAAACAAACAAAAAACCCAGACGACTCCTCTGTATTGTTATGTATATGAAGATTTGTTGCAGCTTCACTCTGAGCCAAGATTAATCTAGTCACAGCAGGTGATCACTCCAGGGAAAATTTTTATTCCATCAAGATGATATATTACTTAAAAACACAGCTAATGTTTTCATTAGTACAATCAAGGAGGGAAGGAAAAAAAAAAAAAAAAAACAAAACACGATTTCACAGACCTAAGCTCATTTCAAATCCTTCTGCTTTCATGATCTAACATTCTTCCAGGGAACACTCTGGATAATAAATATGAAAATTTATGCAGCTGAGGGTTATCATTACTGGTTTTTGGTCCACTCAACTCCTTACTGACAGAATTTATATGGAATTTTGTACTGGTTTTAGTCACACAAGAAAAGTAACTGACAAAACAGGTGATATAAAAACTATCTCTAGTGATACTTAGAACTTATGTTCTCACCACCAGATCCCATTTCCTTCTTGGAGGGACTGTACCGTCATTACCATTAAAAAACCTCAACATTAATAAAACATTTTTGTTCTTCTGGAAGGGCAAATGAAACTTAGTTAAATGTCTAGAATGCACCAGGAACGCTTGGTCAGTTTGAAATTTAAATGCAGCACATAAAAAGGGATGACTGAAAGCTGAAGTTTAGCAGCACAAAAGGTATTTGAGCAAAAAAATTAAAGTGTTGAGTCACAAAAAAGGTTTTGCAACTGTCAGTGTTCTTCCAAAATACACTACCTAACCATGCTTTAGGACTAAAAACAGATATTTCATGGACTTTTGTACTCACAGATGATTTCAAAGTAAGGACCTTCATCACAGGAACCATTTTTCTCTACTTATTTTGAAAATATCCTGTCCAGGTGTGCCCATGCCCCTCCTTGCTCTGCAGTGACAAGTGGTGGTGCACGATTTCAGACCGGACTCAGAAATGAACTTCACTCATTTACCCACTTGTGTGGGCTGATGCATTTCAAAAAGACCATGAAGGGTGTTAGAACATGATAATGAGTAATAACAAATCATTTCCAGTTCTATCCTGCTCCACTCAGATGAAGTAAACATCTTAGCCAGAAATCAAAAAAAAAAAAAAGAAATCATTTGATGAAATCTTCACAACTCAAACACACTTTCTGTAGGTATTTTATTTCTGCTGACTTTTAAATGTGATTTGGGTGTAATGACATTTATCTGGTGCTGTCTTACCTGTACAGAACATGTTGCAGCAATTACACCATCTACAGGAGTTTCAGAGAACGGGTCAAACGTTCGATCTGGTCGTCGCATGAAATCTGGTTTAAGGAGATACCTTTTTTCAAGAAAAAAAGGAGAAAATTATTCCTGTGCAGAAATTAAAACTGTATTAAATACAAATGAAATGGATGTTCTATCTTTAAACAATGAACTGTCCTGCAGCACCGGAAAATACAGATTGCCATTCCAGCTGCAAGTGTGAGGAAGTAAAAGGAAGTATTATGCTTGTCTAGAACACAAATATATGTTAATCCTCATTTTGAATTACCAGCTACTGAGAGATGAAAGTAGCCCTGGATTTCAAGAGAAAAATAAATGTAATGTGATCAAGGACATTTCAAAACAACTGAATAATACATTTTAAAAATATAGCAAGTCACCATATAATAAAATGTAGTTACTCTCATTTGTTTTAATTCTCTGGAAAAATACAGAGGGCTTTTTCAATTTTATTTTTCTAAATGAAGAAGCTCCTCAGAGTCAAGACTCCTACAATAAATTTCAGCTTGAAGCTGATTTTTTTCACCGTGGCTATGAAACCTTGGGGGGAAACAACTGATAATGTCAGCGCTGACAGATTGTTAATTATAGTGGCACGAAAGGTACTACCACAATAACACTTACAATCTGTCCCTGAGGACTGTGCACTGGATCAACATATCAATGAAGCCAATATGTGCTCTGGTGAATCAGAGCCCAAGGATTCTGACATCAAAATGAACCAGCAGCTGATCACAGCAATGCTGTTCCTCACATTACAGAGGTGCTTTCAGTGGTGGAAGAAAATGTTTAACTAAAGGAATCTTGCTAATTCTGTTACCCCGACAGACAAAGCTGCTAGAGGATTAATTTTTATCCACCTCTAATCTCTCTAGTGAATCACTGGTACACAATGTTGTGAAGGCCTAGACACAACTCAGAAATAATTAAAAAATGCTGGAAAAGTTCCAGTGGAAAGAATGTCAATGTTTTCTCCCATTTTTTCGTAACATGGTTTCTGTTTAGAAAAATAATACTCATTTTTCTTACATCATAAATGTATTTAATAACATTTTATGAATTTAAAGTAGGAAGCTATCAGAAGCATCCTTTATTTCTGCTTGCAGGCTGCTGAAATAAGAAGTGGTGAAGGTAGAGTGGGCTCAATCTTGTTTCACCAGCATGAAAACTGTAAATCTGAGAAAAAAAGAAGTACATACAGAAGGAAACAAAAGTTTTTATTTTCATTGCCCTGCATCCTTTCTGTGACTGAAACACTACCACATTTATAATGCATATCAAAATATTACCATGCATTACCATTATAATATCAAAAGACTGATGTAAGAATCCAGGAATTTAGCTGATAATTTTCCCTGTCCTTCAGAAGAATTTGGCCAAAGTAAAGGTGCTCTTTTACTAGGACTGGGAGTCAAACAAGAAAGAACCAACTCTGCAGTAAAAAAGCTTTGGTTTTCTATTATTTGTGTTATTCTGATTGAAATGACAGAGACTGCACCTTAAGAGCCTCCACCTGGAGAGCTCACAGCTGTGCTAAAGGCAAGGAGTGGCCAAGCCCTTTGTGTCCATTCTGCAGGTGAAGGATTTTAAATCTACATCTACTCAGACTTCCTTTCTGAATAAGATTTGCAGCAGTACAAAGAGTAGTTTCTTCCTAGGACGAGTTTGCAGATTTTAATGTGTTTCTGGATTGTCATTTCCTGTAATTCATCAATCCCCTCCTTTCTCCTGATGTTAATGATCAGTCTATCCTATTAAGGTATAAACTCAATGTTTTAAAAAAAAAAATAATCTATCAGCATCACTTGAGCATCTTTTGTCATGCAAAGGTCGTGAGCAAGAACTTGGAGAGATGAAACACTTTTTCACACTCCAACTACAGTACACAGATTAAAAAGATGTTCCCTTTGTACTGTGACTCAACCTGTCCAAGTAAATTTGGCAGTTCTGTGAACTGTGCAATGCATCTCCATTCTGAGGCATATCTTCAAAAAAAAAAAAAAAGGCTGAGAACAGAAGCTGGAGATGTATTTAAATAAGTGTGTATGGTATTCACATTCATTTACACACAAAGCCTCTTCTATCTCATCTTAAAAAACTGGGCATAATTAAAAAGCATATTCATTAGAATACCTCCTTACCAGGGATAATTCCCTCTGAATTCTTCTAATGTCTACTCTCCACCCAGCATCCCATTTTTCTTTTGTAACACATAATTAACAGTGACAAAATTTTATTAAAGCCTCATTAAAGGATTCTGATCCACAGTGACAACAGTTTGAATCATATCACTCACCCGCACGATCCATTGTACTCAAATTTCCCTTGATTCAACTGCATTGCTAAATCTGCCAAGAGACAAAGAAATTACTACCTTTCCTGGTGAATAATGCAGACCACGATCACCCCTTTCTAGAAAACAAGACTGACTGTCCAGAATAATGAGTTAAAAAGAAAATTTAAATTTAATGCATAAAATTCACACATCTAAGAAATAAAAGGAAAGCAATAGCAAAAACTTGAGATTTCTTTACAGTAGGAACAGCTTTATCAACCCCACTAAGTCTGTGATGTGCTAAAGAAACAGTTTGATTCCCTGAGATCAAAGAGGCAGAGAAGCAACAGACTCTGGTCATGTTACATTTGTGGGATGGGATTTCCATCATTTAACTTTCGGTATCTACAGCACAGCTGTCTCCATTTCTGCAGATCCCTTGGAATAACAGAGGGATACAGGAGCTTTAACAGTGCAATTAACCTCAGTCTAAGGCAGAATGTAACACATACTAGACAAGACATCCTTCAAGTATGTATTTCTTCATAATGACCACAGGCAACTACCTCTGATGAAGCTCTCTGTATCCTGGTGTTTTAAAGAAGGTGAGACGAATATCAAACTGGTTTTCCATGGGCTTAATTCAGTCAAATACCACAAAAACAAACCACAGAGACCCCAGCAGCATTGCTTAGTTTCAACGTTTAAATGATGAGCTTTGGCCAATGCGTTATTATGGCACTCGTATATAGTATATAAAAATACACAGTAAACATGTAATCACCTCCCTCTCATCCAACCCTCTCCAGAACTTTGTAAAAATAAAATGTTTCCCTGCAGGTTTCCAATTACACTGGAATAGAGTATCACTGTTTAGCCATAACACAGGTATTCTCTTGCCCAGCAGACTCTGCTTTCAAAAGGGAACAAAATCTTTTCTGTATGTACTGATATACAAAATACAAGATTCTCATATGCTTATATCACTTATTACTCACTTTACTGGGCAGCTATAACTTATTTCCTCAATTATTCTTCAGCTTGACAGCCTAACTGGATGACAGAGGATGAATACAGGAGAGTTGCTTACTTCCACTTCTACAATTACTACTCTTATTTTGCAGTATAAATGGGCAGGGAGTGACATGCAGAGGCAGTGCTGGGAGCAGAGTGGGATCTGCATATCTGCTACAACCTCTGCATTATGTGGAGTGGGGTACTCTATAAGCAGTGTATTCCAGTAGAGCCTTCTCCTGCTTCCTCAGCTAGTGGAATCAGGGCACAGCTTTGCAGGACACACCTCAGGGTATGATCATTTGGAGTGTCTGCAGCAGCAAAGACACCATTCAGGGAGGGGGGAAGCCAGCACAAAAGCAATGCCACAGCTAGAAAAAGGAAATGGGAGAACTGGTCTGTTACAGGTATGACTGAAGACATTCCTAGATACATCAAAAAACTAATCAAAACAACAAAAAAGGCTACCCTCACAGTTAACTCACACCTTCACTGATCAGGAACAGTACATCTCCTCTCAGATTACCCTGTGGAGAGGCATTTACATTCCCTGGCATCGCTCTCTCAGCTGGGATCTCAGACCCCATCCTCTGATGCTGAGCACATGACAATTAATGCTTCACAATGGCCAGTCTAGAAATGCATTTGTCACACAGTCATTACTTTTTACCATCTCAATCTGCACACTCCATCTCTGCTTTGCAGGCACGCACCCAACTGTGCCCAAGCTGTGTTTTGTGAAAGCAGTGATTTTTCCTGTAATTAATACTACTTATTAATAAAACCATTTCTATAAGGAGCTGCAGCACTCTATTATTTTTCTACAAAAGGGGGCTGAATCTTCCTCCTGTGTACGGCTTTTTTTATTGCCCCTTGTCTCACGCTGCCGGAATTCCACTCCGCTGTGTTCTTTAGCCATATGTCTGCTTCCTCAAAAAAATGCCAGAAGCAAACCCACGGCATCTGTTTGCGAGTTCCTGCCCAAGCCATTCTTTAGGATTGAGGTTCACTGGTCGTTGCTCCCTACCTGGGGTCTGATAGTTCAGTGAGACCATCTGGCAGCCAGCGTTCCAGAAAATTTGAGGCATGTAATTACTGGAATCCACTCGGCCTCCCTTTGGGTATATCCGACTCATTTGTCGTTTGTTGTAACTGTAGAATTCATCAAGGAAAATGAAATAAAAGCATTGTAGAAATGTATAGCCATATCCTGGGATCTTCAATATTTCCTGTATTAATCTTACTATTTCTCCTTCTGTGAGCTGCTTTCCCCTTTCCTTTACACTAAATCTAGAAAGGTACTCTGGTTTATCTGCAGCAGGGGCAGATTAGTGGGGAGGAGGTGAAAGGATACTTCACAAACTCAATGGCATGAGTCTTCAAATACCCTAGTCCGACTGATTCATTGAAAGAGGACATATTGTGGTGAATATTACGTTCTAGGAAGGAAAAACAAGACATTTTAAAACACTTCTGTAATGACAAATCAACATTCAAAATCATGCACTATACATAATAGCAGGATACAGTAGAGTCTGGTCTCTTTCCCCGTTATCTGTTACTCATAGAATCAAATTATACTGGTGAGAAATTTCATGGTTTTCTGACTTGTTTTTTTCTTTCCCTTCCTGGGAAATCAACAAAACTTTCCTTTTTTGTTTAGGACAAAATTGTTATTCAGAGCCTGTGCTGTGCGGCTAGATAAGGTAAAGCAACATGATAAATGGCCTGGTGTGCAATATCAGCTGAGTGCTGACCACTATGACAATCATGCTCACCTTACTGTAGGGAAAGATGAACTAAAAAAAAAAAGGCATTTTAGTTGGAAAGGCCTATAGAATAGAATCAACCGCAACAGCTCCATATTCTCCCAGTAATTTAGTGACTCCGTGTGGATAAGCAATGGAATAACATGCCAACTTTACATTCAAGGCAACAGATCTACAAACATACTGATGGTGGTCGTTAAACTATCAAATATGCCTGGATTTCTAAACTCAGGAGAATGTAGAGATTAAAAAACTACCTAGGGATAAGCAAACACTTGTATTTCATTCAACCCTTTATGTTACCTTCTGCTACATCGAAACCTTGAAATTTTACAGGTTGAGCATAGTTGACCATTGTTGATAAATATGGATGTATATTGGTTGTGGCACCTACATATTTGTAAGATGCCATCCACGCTTGTTCATCTTCAACAGTTACTAAACCCTGGAAACACATCAAAAAGAACAGTCACTATTTTGTGTGTGCAAACCCGGTTGTTGGAACTTTCAAACGCGGCACAAAATTACACCCAAATCTGCAGAAACTCAAAGAAAGGGCAAATTAATACGAGAAAAGTGGAAATTTAATGTCGCAGATTAAGACTTGTTTTCTTACTGACACGTGCACCAAAGACTCTCAGTGTTACAGGACACATGCAAGAGGACTGATGATAGAAAAGCTCCTAAGCAGCAGGTAAGTATTACATGAAGTTAGTAGGGGAACACTGGGATAAAAGATAAATATTACAATGGACTGAACAACGTTGGGAGAGAATGATCTATCTTTGCCAAATAAATTTCCCAAACTGTGATTTAATATACATTTGTTGACTGCACCTAGGGTGGTGTAATGCTTACTTGGCACTCAGTAGAACTTCCTCGACATCGGAACATAAATAGGTTTAACTACTGATCTTTACTAACAGGAGACCAAAATGTAGGGATCACAACCTTCACTGCACAAACAAACATCACAAGACCAACAAGAGACACAGTACCCAGTTCATACTCCTATTCACCTAATAAAAATGTGAGCCCATCATTCACAAAAAGATGCACTTTATTTACTAAACAGAACTTCAAAAGTTTTCTACAAGTATCTCATCTGCCAGAAACCCGCAACAGGAAGCACTTCTTATTTGGATCTACCTGTCCAACATTTTCCTTTCCTTAAGCCAGTTTAAACACATTCTTTTCACTGAAATTAGGGAAAAGAAAGATCCCTGTCAATCTAAGCAAACTCCTACACACAGTTTTGGTTATTCTCCTACCAGTGAACCAGTTACCAAAAAATCTAACTTACTGTAGGCTGACAGTGAACTTCTGCTAGGAAGTACTAAGTACAGTCAAAAATCCTTGCAGTACAGCTTTTTTGTTTTCAGATTGCAGCTCATGTTTGTCAGAAAGTTCTCCTTCCCTGTTTTATCAGGAAATAATCAGTAAGAGAAAGCCCTGCAAAGCCCTTACTCACTAGAGAATAATGCAGTTCACAGAACCTACACTACTGCAACTCATTTACTCAGTGAGATGGGAGAGTAAAGGACATGTAAAACCACTTGCCAGTATTATGGGTCTGTACCTCCACCTGTCACACAGTGCAGACACATTTCAAAGAATGAAAACCATGTGAAGTGGAACCGTTTGTGCCCTGATATAGGATGATTATAGCCATGAGCAACATAATTTACTGAGTGCATAGAATAGCTGAGTCAGCAGAATGAGTCCAGGTACACATTGTTGTATGTGCATTTTAGACTGAATTAAACTTCCAGTGGCCCATGAAATCAAACTGACACCATATTTTAATGCTGATCACCAGGGCTCAATCCAACTGCTTTTCAGGAATGGTGCACATTGAGGGTTCACAGATCTGTTCCCTAAAGGTACATCCCTTTAGAAGCAGAAAATAGGCATATTTTTTTGTTACTAGATTAATATTTATTAATAGAGTTTAGGTCAAATTCAGGCCAAAGGTTTTCAGTGAAACTAGTCCTTTTTTCAGTGTCCTAATTTCTGAAAGGCAAGTAACTCAGGAAGAAGTGACCACCCGTCTTGTAAAAACCAGGGTTCTCCAATATGCCTCCCGTTGACTGCTCAGAACCACTGATCATATTTGACTATCCTGATCCATCAACACCTCCACCTAAATGAGCTCCAGGGAAAAGGAAGTCCAAGGGATTGTGATGCCTTAGTGCCCTGGCAGTGGGATCACAGCTGAATGGCTGCATTACTGACACACTAGATCAATGTTCCAAGACAATCTACAGGTCATTGATTTTATCTTATTTGCCTGCAGACCCATAATTTTTAGAGTAAATGGGCTGTACTCTGCAGTGTTCAACTTTAAAACTAGGAATTAAGAAAGGAGTAAGGATAGAATTTTCCTTAAAATCTACAGGAACAAAGGAATGGTTACAACAGCACACGAGCCTTGTAGGGGATAGAGAAAACAATAGGGGAAAGTTGATCTCCCTGTTATCTACACTCCACCATCCCTCAAGAAAAGAAGCAGAACCCACTTAGAAAACAACACAGACTGAAACAAAGTGTGGTTAGGAATAGGAGCAGTTTTAATGAGAAAAGAGGAGGAGGAGGAGGACAGTGGAAGGAGGTGGGAAGTGTCTTACAGAAGGGATTCCTGGGAGAAGATAAATGCACAAGTCCCCAGGGAAAGCAAAAGGAAGAAAAAGAGAGAGGAAAACAAAGTGCAGTCAGGGTAAGGGCAGAGGAAAAAAAAAGAAGCAGGGATGATACATCTCAACACCCTTCAAAGAACTGGTTTCCCCGTACATGACATTTGAGACTGAGATCAGACACTTCTAAGCAGGCAAAAGTCATGCACTTCTGTCTGTTCCCAAATTTTCTGACAGCCCTAAGCCCAGTATAAAAGTACAGTAGAAGAAATCCTAGGGGACAAAAGGAGGTAGAGTCACTTTCAAAAATACTGTGTAGGTGCAGTAAAACTGAGTGTAAAATTGTTAAACCATAAGAATGCATGGTAAGTAATATGCATGTTATATAGAAAGCAATAAAATAAACTACATAACCTATGTGTCACCTTTTTATTGTTTTCTTGCTCAGAATCTTCAACAGCCTAAGGGAAAAAAAATATATATACATTACCCAAAGAGAAAGCAATAAGAAACACTCACAGTAAGGAAAAAAATCCTCAAAAGGTTAATTAACTTAGCAAAAAGCATATCGTTTTCCACATCTTCCTGTGTGGCTCATCTGTTCAGTGAACTTGCAAAAATTTGTAGTCTCTTTGAAATTTGGGCACACGAGATATGAAATTCAACAGCGGGCTAACAGTGGGAACAGGATGAAGGATGCCAGTCAGTTAAACCCAAACCAGAGCTCCCATCAGATGTTGGGGACAGGAAGTTTTGGAGAAGAATGAAAGAATAACACACCCAGACCACACAAAAGATCATCCAGTCTGGAGATGTAAACTGCCAGGCTCTGAAAACTTAAGGCTGCTGCAAACCATGCTTGAAATGTCCCCGTTTGGAAAAGGCCTCTCTGCTGCCTGTCTTCAGTTACAAGCTACCACTACTGAGAAACTTTGACAGATAAATGTTGTCTTGGCACTGGATGTAAATTCCTAAAGAATAAAGTTCAAGCCACTGATCAGCAAAGAAGCAGAGAAGTTTTGAGGACATGCTGAGGATGAGTGACTAATCTGGAAACAAAAAACTAATCCTCAAAACAACAACAAAAACCCCGCAACCAAAACCCAAATCCTGAAACACTCAGGTAGTCAAGGACCAGCTGACTTGGTAAGTGAAACTGCCCTAAAGCAAAGAAGGTAAATGATGCTTCAGTGGAAGGATTCACAGAAGTCCTGAAGAAGCAAAGATGTAGGTAGACCTGAAGAGATACACAGAAGGCAGGCCTGATGTCTCTGACACTGCTGGAGATGTGCTGCCAAGGGCAATCTGCACTAGGAGAGATTATCCACACCTACATTTCTGTCTGGAGTAAGATCCAAAGGTAGCCAGGTAGGAGAGAAGTGGCCAAAATACCTAAATGACAGAGGAGCATCATCTGGTAAGGTACCTTAGCACTCACATGTGGGGTTTTTTTTTTCTGTAGCAAGCAGCAATAATACTTCCAGTGCCAGAGCAAGCTTAGATTTTAATTCCAACATTCTGCATCTAATGACTATCACATAATATTGGTTACTGAGCAGAGACTGATAAACTGTACTAAATCAGGTTTAAGTGGAATAAAGGGAACTCTTCCCCTGCCTATCAGCTGTCTTATATAGCCCCACCACCCCACAGGGGAATGATTGCCTGATTCTGCCTTCACTGCTGTAAGTAGAAGGGAAAGTCTACCCTAAGGAACAATAAAAAAATGACACAGGGAAACCCTGCCATGAAGACACAGAACGCAGCCCTGTGAAGCAAAATATCAGAGGCAGGAGCAGGAAACTTCTTGCTGCCTTTAACTGGCATTTTTGATCAGATCCCCCACTTGTACACTGCTTCCCTACATGCTGATCCTGTTTCCTCAATGAATATTCTACCTGAACAAGCAAGGAGTATTTTGGGCTACAAAACTGTGTGCTCTCATGAACCTAAAGGTTAAGGGCATCTGGTAAAGATCTCCGGTGTGAATCTTCTGACAACAAGTGCTGCGATGCTTCCACAAAACAAGAGTGCCTTTTACAACTGCCTCCATGGGAAGTTTTTCTAAAAGATATATCTAAGAAGCAATCCCACCTTTTTGACACTGATGGCGACAGCTTCTTTTTGACTGTAATCATCGACAGTAAGGTCACTTCCAAATTTGTACTCGGGGTGAGCTTCTTCTTCCTGGTCAGCTGCATGGAAAAGAAAAATGATCAGTGGGGAAAAAAAACCAAAACAAACACAGCAACTGCTGGTTTTGTGCCAGACATGCAACAAATGACAGTCGAACACACAGGTCTGGTTTTGGCATTTTTTAAACACGGGAATACAATACAGGGTATTAGATTTCCAAGTGCTATTTAACTGTTTGCAAGTGCAGTAAAGGACAGCTAAGGTCTAAGATCCTTAGAGCTTCGACATGGCAAGAGAAAATGTATTTACTGCATTTTTGAAGTAATCAGGAATTTGCTTAGAAAAAGCATAAAAATAAAAAGGCAATAGCCTTGGGGAAATAACAAGATATGATGACAGAGTTCTTTGAATACAGATAAAAGAAAGTAGTGTCTGGGCTTCTAGTGTGCGTTGTTACAGTCTCCTTGTGTGCCCCTACTCTAGGGAATCATTTTCATTTGCTTTTAAGGTGTTTTTCCAATAGAATCTAGAGTACTCAAAGAAGCTAAAAAAGTAAAGTAACAGAAAAAAAAAAATTATCTAATATATGAGAGTTAGGCTAAAGCTGGGGCATTCACTATGACATGGACCAAAGTACCTTGGTTCAGACACTTGCAGACAATGCATGATTTACTTCCTCTGAAAGTGCACTGTTTTTAAACAGAAAAGGTGGATCATACCCTAAGTATGACTATTTTTCTGTGCTGGTCATAAATACATTCCGTATCATTGGCTCAGAGCAAGACATTTCCACTGAAGATACCTGAAGCTTGGCACAAAAAATCCTATCCCTCAAAAGCAAAATGCAATAATCCAACCTGATGTTGACACAAGAATTAAACACAGTGCCAAAACCTGTTTCCAAAGCAAAGAGCACACAGCTTCCCAGTCTCTCTCTCATACACACAAAGGGAAAATCTGACTTGGTTGGCGCTCCAATCTGACTTCTGAAAAATAAGGGGAAGTTAAAATTACCACTAGTACCACCAGCTAAGCTCATGATCCTACCACAGAGCCAGGAGCAGCTGTGGAATGAGATGGGAAGGCTGGAGGTCTGTACAAACAGTCCTGCACTGAGCCCAGACTGACTGCTGCTGGCACAGACTGCAGGCACGTGGGTAAAGTGCATCCTAACTGCCCATGCCACCCCACTGATTTACCACAGGCAACGTCTGAGAGCCCTTCTCCATGAAATCCTCACCGCTTTCTATCTCTTCTTCGTTATCATCTTCTAGGATATTGGGAGCAGCAGTTTCCCCAGCCTCCATCATCTTTTTCAGGGCATCAAGCTGTTCTGTTAATAAGATAAATAAAATTAAATTAGTCATGGCATGAACAGTTTGTAGCACAGAGAAGTACAAGAGAACAATCACAAATGGTTCTCCGATCCCGAGAGCTACTTTCATTTAATGAGTTCTCTAAGTTCTCAGTTAGCAATAAAATTTCACAGGGTAAAGAGCATCAATAAACATACACTGTTGTTAGACCTGAAAAGGGGTCAGTAAGAGTCGTATCCAAAGCTTCCTGAAGTTAAGAAATATAATTTCACAGGATCACAGAATCAATTATGTTGCAAAAGACCTCTGAGATGGAGTCCAACCGATGACCAAACACCACCATGGTAACTAGACCAGGGCACCAAGTGCCATGTCCAGTCTTTCCTTAAACACCTCCAGGGACAGTGACTCCACCCTGGGCAGTCCAATCCAATGTCTAGTCTCCCTTTCTGTAGAGAAATTCCTTCTAAATTTCCACAGACTTCAAAGATCTTTGGAGCAAGCATATTACTTCTTCAAAGAATAAACAGACAGCTGTCTCTTCGGGGCTTGATCCATGCAAATGGAGGCAAACTGCTTGGATTTTCATTGTATCCCCCTGTGCATTTCAGTTAGACAGGATGAAATGTCACACCATGTATGACTGAAGCCAGTGCAAGGTCTGCATGCTTATCTTGGAATGGAGAAGGACTGAGGTTTATCATTACAGCCATACTGGAAACTAATACAGCAGCATTATTATTACTGAAAGAAGATAAATATCAGAACTGGCAACAACAGCAAGAAGAGCAATTTGAAATTCCATTTAATTTCACGCTTATCCTGGAAAAACACAGCAATGCAAACATACCAGTGTAGGCAGAATTTACAAGAGATTCTATCTGTGCTATATTTTAGCTCAGCCAGCAGTCTGATAAAAGTCCCAGGATTACATTCCCAGGTCTATCTATGCTTTTGCTGCATGCTGATATCAAGGCCCAGACTCTGGCACTCGTATGAAACACAAGGGCAAACAAAATGTCATTTACATAGAATTCATATTCTTCCAACACTAAAGTACAAGTAATTTGGAAACTTTAGTAACAAAGTCTTTTACAGCAAGCTGGACTTTTGTTTATTTAATATTTGACAGGCTTTACTTACTTTTTTCTACTTCAGGTTTCAGCCTTTTATTCTTTATGAGAATCTTTCTTTTGAGGTCATTAGGAGATGGTAAGGCTTTACCTGGATCAAGCTGTAAAACAATTAAAAGAAAAGGTTTAACAACAGCTATTTGGCCTGCCTCTATCACTATTTGGGATTTTGACTGTAGGACAGAAATAGTAAGGGGCAGTCAACAAGCAGTGCCACCTCAGGCACAACCCCAGAAGGAAGTGTGACTGTAGTTATAGGGTCTCCTCTGCTTCTTCCCTATCCCATGGGAAAGCTGTGCTCAGGTAAATGCTGCTGGTCTCCAGCCTGTGCCACCCTCAGCTGCACTGGTCAGAACATTTTCCCCTCTCTCCTGCCTAGCAGGGGGCATGGATGTGACCTGCAACTCCTCATCAGAGCACTCCCTACTGTCCCTCCCTCCCTTGGTTCATACCCAGTTCGAGTCACAGTTTAGCCCGTTATTATTTGATCTGTAAGTCACCTTTTATGGTCCCTTTAGGATGTAATAATGGAAATGAGGGAGCCCACACACACTTACAGAGGGGAAAAGGACTGGCACTGGTGACTGGAAAACTACCCAGTCCTTAGCCAGGGAATGAGGACAAGTTTTGCCAGTATGGTCACAGGGTCACATCTTCGTGAAAGGTAAGGGGCAAGTTTTGCATACACAAGGAAGTTCTGCTAAGAGCTTTGTTCCAGGTTGAGAAAGAAGAAAATATATTATTGAGAAAAAAGTACAAAATCCTCTAATTGAAGCTCTCTCACAGTGCTGAGGTTAAGGAATAGAGATTTCTGTAAAGTAATTAGCAACCTCTCCACCTCGGGCTTCCTAAAAATACTATGCAGGGGGTTGCTGGTATAATGGACTGGGGTTTTCAGTGAACCAGAAATGATCCAGGAGGAGAAGGTATTTCCAGGACTAGTAAAAATTCTCAAAAGAATTATTTAGATATTTTTATCTTCAATTCCAAATCTGAGTTACACAGAAGCAGCACTCTAGATGAAGAAACAGAAGAGCAAACCACCACAACTTGAAATCAAATAAAAGCAGCAGAGGTGAGAAATAACAACCCAGCAAAAAAAACCCAAATCAACCCAACTCCAGGAGAATGGGTGCAAACCTCCTTGCAGAAGGGTCATGATTCTCCACACCCACCAGGCAAGCTCAGGTAGGGGGTTTTCGGTACGTTGGATGAAGAGAAAACACGTTTATTCTTGAGAACGCTGGGGCTGTAATTCCACTAGATGTCAGTGCTGCAGAGCTCCTGGAAGCTCCACGGGCTTCCAGGATGCCAGTCTGCATCCCCAAGCAAGGGCACAGTTGGATGCCCACTTGGACAAATATTTGCTTTTACTTAAAACCCAAATCTGCTCCAGCACGTGCCACGTCTCTCTAAGTCTGCCCTCCTCAGTCGACCAGCCGAGGTTACCAGAGCCCAAGCACTCCTCAAGGGTACGTTCCAGGCTCCTCCTGCCACCTCTGCAACATTTGCTTTGTGAGCAGCTGGGGACTGAATTCAGCCAAGAGGAGGAAAGGACACAAAATGCAGAAGGCTCAGGAGTGCTACAGAGCACAGGCAGCTGAGCCTAAATACTGGGCCCTGAGGTAGGAGCGTGGCAGCCTTTGGCCAGCTCTATTTTAGGCTTCCCTGAGAGCTGCTGGAAGCTGCTGCTTGTGAGGAACATGGCACTGTGCTACACACATTGCAGGGGAACACTGCAGGTTTTGTTCTCTGGGATGCCCTTTTTCAGGGCAACAACCCGATATTCACCAAGCCCCGTGTGTTGCTGCCCCTGCGACGTGCAAGGGAAGCCAAGAAAAGCACAGCTCTAGCAGTGCTGATGCCAGGAGCCCCCTCTGTCAGGGTCACACGGGCAGGAGCTGAAAGATAAGGCAGAGTCCTCTTTGCTGTGGCACTGAGGAGCATCTGCAGGTTTTGGGTGATCGCCGGCACATGGCAAGCTGGCTGTAAGGAGAGTAAGGAGGGTCTGGAGGAGGAGTTGCAAGCTCTGGGTAACAAGCTATTAGAAGTCTCAAATGTTGTGTTTGTGAAGGAGTGTCTGTTATTATCTCCTGCCACGCAGGAGAGTGAAGTGCATGCAGATTACAGTGCACTTGATAGTCCAAATGAGACTGCAGGAAACTCCTGGTGCTTAATTTAATTCTTAAGGCAGTAGTGGGGGCCACCCAGACTGCAGGACTTGATCTGGAGCATGAAACATGCAACGTGCAGCTGAAGAAAGAGGTTTCTTCAGCTGAGACCATGCAATTTATAATTAATTGGTTTTCATCAGTGACTGGCAGTTTCAGAGTCATGTATGACCTGCAAATGCAATGTGTGTGGTGTATTTTATATAGGTGCTGGTATTACGTCCCACATGAGGGGGATGGCTTTCCCCAGACTGCTCGTCAGAGCCCTGTACAGAAGAGATTAAACAAATCAGAGACAAGTTGGTACCAGAAAGCACAGACACCCAAAATCACTAGTCATTTCTGAAAGCACAGGACTGGTAGTGAACAGCACTACAGGTGACATGATCTCAGTTTATCATCCCTTTTAAATACAACCAATATAAAAAACCACCAGACTGGCAGGATATAACATACTGGATGTGTTTCTAGAGGCTGCTTCAACAGGAGATCTCCAAAAAGATCTTCACAGTATTTTGACATCTTGTATTGTTGGTATTTGCTGGAAAAGAGTGTGCTGGTTAATTTTTAAATATATAAAAAAAAATCACTATTATTCAGCACAATAGAATAATACTAAGTAACGTAGACATCCCAAATTATATACTGCCCACTATGTCTCCACTGAGAAGTATTACTTTACTGTATAATTATGCTGTCAATAAAAGTCTATTATCTGACAAAGATGAATTTTAAGACCAAAAAAGTAGAATAACTGAATCTCACTCAGCTAATGGAACATCCAAATATATTTCACAGCTTTATCACAGATAAAAATATTGCCATTATTAAGCTCTACGAAGATTGATTAGTATATTAGCAAGTGACATTCAGTATACCTGCAATAGCCTACAGAATTTTCAAGTACACTCAAATTACAGTATTTTAAACTAGATCATCTCTCTCAGACATTGTACAATTTAAAAATTAAAAACGGGCACTACATACCTGCAGTGATTTTCAAACGAAAGGATGACAGGGTACTCTGATGTAACAAATGCTGTTTCCTTAATGGCTTGAATTACATCCTAAAAAATGAAATGATAGGATTCAAATTAGAACAGGGGTGTGTGATGCAGGTCAGAAATGAGCCCTAAGATCTGGGGACAAGAACTGTGCCCATGCAATCTGTCAGTCTGTCCCACAGGATCTCATTGCTGAGGAGGGGAGGGTGCCCTGCACAGATTCTTGCCCATGGGTTCTCCTGGGGCTCACTGCCAGGTGTAGAGGTCAGGCACTCACCTTGAAAAGAATGTCTGTACACATTGCCTTTCCATGTGTTATTATTGGCTCCTGGTCTTCACCTTTGCCATCCCAACAGTCCAGCTCCACACACCTAGAAATCCAAGAAAAATGATGTCAGCTGCCTTAGTGTTTCATTCCAGGTGAGCTACTCGGAATACATGCTGAATACTGACGGTCAGAGCAGTAAGTTACAAAGCAGTTCTGGGCATCACACAATCCTTTCTAAGCTGTACACATGTAATTTAAGGCTCTTTCTATGACTCTGGATATTCTATCTTCCAGCACCTGTGGGTCTGTATTTACATGTGGACAATAAAGTCTCCAGCACTAGAACACTCTTCTGATTCTCAGGCTACTATGTCAAGACATTAAGCAGGATATCATAAACTGATTCTCATTTACAAATAACCTTCTTAATTATAAAGCAGAAAGCCCTCTGAAATCCTTCAGTTGTCATTTTGAGATCTGTTTCTTTTCTCACAAACTCCTTGTATCAATTTCTCCATCGCACTGCCTTTCAAGGTTTTTCACGAGAAAAATAAGAGTCTTAAATAAATATGCGTGTTTTCATTTACCACACTAACATATTTAATTATACATATTCAATTACACAATATATTACCACCAAGGTATATTATGTAGGTTTAAAGTATCAGATTCACAAATATTAAAGGCTGTTATCTCCTGCTTCCAACCTGCATCCAGCCAAAAGCACTTGTCTGTACATCTCCACTGAAGACTTGCCACCAAACTGCCTGCCTGTTAAATAGGTATTGTGAGAGGAACTGATGAAATAATGAGCCAAAGGATGGTCCATTTCTTGATACAATTCCAAACGGTCTAAGAAAACCGGGGCGTTTTCATCTGACATCAAGTATCTGCAAAACCCATCACTGGATATGACACCTAGAAGGAAGAAGAAGGTGTGGTAAATTACTCCCACATATTTAGAGTGGATAGGAATCAAACTCTGTCACCGAGCAGGAATCCTAGCCCAAAAGCTGTGTTTACACAGGTTTCTGCAAGCAGACAGAAGCTCTCCCACCACTCCAAGCTGCCCCTGGTGTAAAGTGTGCCCTTGCATTGCCAGATAACAAAAGTAAAAAATCAGGTGCCCATCAGCTCAATACCTGGGGTCCTGCAATGGTTAGTCCTGCCCTCACTGTGCTACATCACTGCTAATCAGCCTGTAGAGTATGGAGAGACTGCTCTCCACTGGCAAAGACATGTAGATGTGTACCTGAAAACATCTGCACAGGTTCATTTGCAAAACATCAGGAAAATCCAAGATACCTTCGAGTTTACTGTTTGAAATACATGTTTATACCTTCATAAATGAAAAGCAATCCATTTCTACAAGGAACACCTAGTAATTTAGATTAGATAGAACAATCCATAACATCTTTCTCTTACTTCTCTGCTGTTCTGTGCTTCAATCAAGTATTAAAAAATATAAGTCAAGGGATAGTTTTTAATGAAGCCAAATAATCAGTGCAGCAGTATCAGTTTTGAGGGGGCCAAGAGTTTGAAAAATGATCTGGGGTAGGGAAGGAGGGATTACTCACAAAAAGCTGCTGCAGAGAAAGGTTATCTGGCACTAGTTTGGAGACTGCTTTCCCTGCAGTCATTTATGAACACTCAGCTATTGTCAAGGGACAGGATGCAGCAGCCCTATTTCTATTTCTTTTAAGACTACTTTTCTCTTATACAGAGAAATGGAGGGATCCAAGTTTTCATTCTACTCCTAAATTCTGAAAAAATCCTCTACTGGAGCTTATATTTTGTGTGCTTGGTGTCAGCCAGAGGTGAACTGTTCTGGGATGTCTTAGTCAAACCCTCTCAGCTGATTCTGAGTGTGGAAGAAGGGGGGAAAAAAAAGGGGGAGCAAAAGGGAATTTTCGACTTGAAGAATAGTTTTATTTTGTTATCACCAAGAACTTAAAAGCAGCAAATCTTAGATGACACATATTTCTAGTGCATCATCTTGTGGAAAAATGTCCCATCTGGCCAGGTGTTCTAGACAAGCTATAGTTGAGATTTCAGCAGCTGAACAGAGCTCTGTGTGGTCTGGGATAAAATCTGCACTGGTGAATATGATCCCTGGAGGAACACTGTGAGAGGACACTGCTGCTGTTCTCTTGCTGCTCTCCATAGCCCTACCCCTGCAGGAGGTTTACCACATCTATTAAAAACCTGTCAGAAAGAAAAATCAAAAAATGAAGCTAAATAAATAGCCAAGATTGAATTCTTTTCTAGTTTCATATTAATTTTCACCTTCATAAAACATGTTTTTGTATCTTCCACCCTAAAGAGCTGGCAGCTGTGTTTCCTCATTTTGGAAAAAGAGTAAAACACACTGGCACCAATAAGAATCCAAGATGAGTGTCCGTAAAAATTATAAATAAAAAAGGACAGAGTTGACTAAAATCAAGTAATTAATACTTGGAGTATTCTACTTCATGTAGAGAGGAAGAGAAGTAAGTTCATGAGTGTAAAATCCCCATAACATTTATAAATGGCTACTAGACAAGAGAAATAGCAGAAGAAGGCAGATGCGCATCCAAGGGTGCACATGGCAATTTTTCTTTGTTCTTTATTTTTACACAATATCTGTACAGCTTTGCAGTCTCTCTGAGACCTTGGCCATGGCCATGTTCAGGTTGCCTTGTTCTGTATTTACTCATTCCCAGCCTCTCACATTTTGCATCAGCATGGCAGCCTTTGTAGCCACACCGCAACCTGGATCAGGGAAATAGTCCTAAAAAACCAAAAAGCACTAATTTTGAGGGGGAGATGTTTTTCCTGACCTAGCTCACTGGGTGGCACACAAGTGCTCTGCCCCCACACCCCAAGAACTGCAAGCTCCCTTTTAACAGTGTGGATGCTTCAGAACAAATTCCCCAAACGCCTAAACCCAGTGAACACCGAACTCCCTCCCCCATTTACCTTTTCTCTTCAAGTCTTCATCTGGCTCATAAGTCTCAATTATCTGCATTGCTCTTTTTGTGTCATAAAAGGGAAATAAAATTTCATTGAGCCGAGGATCTCGTTGATGCTAAGGTTAGAAAACAACGGAATTCAGCAAAATAATATAGTGCATGGCTATCATCCAAGAGCATTTCATTACTGCAGATGAGAAAGAAAGAAGTGGCCATTTACAAAAAAAAAAAAAAAAAAAAA